ATAGAGCAAGGGGACTCTGGATTTGGGATATCAGGTGGATGTGTCCTACTGAAAACAAAAAACTCTAAGTGAAAGCCAATATGCTAAACAGTGAGCGTCTAGTCCTCTTTCTCCAAATGCCACCAAGAATGCTGAGGCTTACACATTCTGAACAGGAAACTGGACTCTTGTCTCTGGAGAAACCAAGCATCACAACAGGACACACCTAAACGTACTGAACTGAGGTAAAGGAACTGAGGGTCCCATACCCAAGGGCTAGACTTCTGCCCCTTCCTTTGAAAAGCCTCACCAACGGGCACAATCACCTTTTTTAGTGACTCACTCTTAAATATGAAGAGAAAGCCAAGATAACCAGACATTTAAAAAGAGAAAAGGATTCAAGAAAACAGAACAGTGTAAGAATAGAAGTGTTTTTTTAACTGTAATTATCATGTTCAGAAATATTAGAGAAGATTTTGCATCCTTGAAACAAGAGCAAGCTTTCTAAAAGAAACAAAGAACAAGACAGAGAAGATTCAATAGCAGAAAAAATTAAATTCAATAAAAGAGGTGGCGATGAAGTTGAGGAAATCTCCAAGAAAGCAGTGAAAAAGAGCTGAAAATTAGAAGAGGCAATATAGGAACTAAATTAATCAGATGTTTAATCACTGTATTTTGGGGTTTCTTTGATACGGAACTTAGCCTATACTTTCACTAACAAAGGTACCTTCAAAATTCTGAGGGAATTTATTCCTAGGATTTATTCCTAGGCAAATTATCAAGCAAGTGTGAGTTGAATAAAGACATTTTCAAATATGCAAGATCTCAAAACGTACCTTTTAAGCATTCCTTCTCAGAAAACTAATGGAGCAAAAGCCCATGCCAGGCTCCCTGTGCACTGGATGCACAATAAATATGTAAGTACCACACCACTAACCATTATTCTACATATTCATTGATAAATCACCATCCCTCATATGGCCCATGAATTCTGTAATACATTGTTAATCAAACTGCTTCTAGAGTTACGGGGCCTGGAAAAAATTATTTGCTTGAGACCCTGTACATCCTAGGGACGGTCCTAGTCAAAGCAGCAGAGACTTTTACAACAATGATCACCTAGGGATTTAAGAATGAAGAGATCATAAATAAGCTCTGAGAGTGGATTCATTATAGTGATCAGGGCAGAAGGTGACATTGAAGTGTCAAAGAGAGAATGGGTGATAAGAATATGAATCAATTCCATGACACTTTCTGGGCTATTCCACCTACTTGTTAGCTGTGTGACTTTGAAGAAATCTCTTCCCCTCTTTGTGCTTAATGCCCATAGGATTAAATTAGATACATTCATTTTCTTACTTTCATCAAACACACACACACACACACACACACACACACACACACACACACCTGATTGTAGCCAAGTGTTCTTTGGGGATGGGGATGGCAGTGTATGAATCTTAAGACAGTCAAGCTCTGCTTTCTTCAATTTACAGATACTCGAAAAGACAGTGATGCCTGAGAATCTGATCTTGGAAAATCATTTCTTTATGTTGCTAAGTAGTGGATGGCCTATTATTTACAAAACACCTAGAAGAGCCATTTTGTTTTTGTTTTGTTTTGTTTTGCTCAGGAAGATTTACCCTGAGCTAACATCTGTTGCCAATCTTCCTCTTTTTGTATGTGAGCCACCACCACAGCATTGCCACTGACAGGTGAGTGGTGTAGGTCCATGCCTAGGAACTGAACCTGGCTACCAAAGCAGAGCACACGGAACTTAACCACTAAGCCACCAGGGCTGGCCCTTGAAGAGCCATTTTCGTCTTGGAAAGCCAGGAGGAAGAGCAGTGTTTGGAAAGGAGATGAGACTATGAGAGATAAGTTGTTTTACATAGTAAGATAAGAATACTGACTTTCCTCAAGTATGCCATTGCTGGAGAGAGGGTGGAAGTGGGGAGAGGAGGTGAAAGGGCCTGAGAATAAGAGAAAGAAGATAAGTAAGACAATTCCACAACAAGGCACCCATGGGTTGGATATAGGGGTACTGAGGGTCAGGTCAGCCAGAGAGGAATTTCTGGTGGCAGGAACAATTGCAAAAAATGTTAAGAACATAGATGGCTAATATTAAGTCCTACAATTGATCCTGTATTTATTCAAAATTTAGATATTCTGTTCATCATGGATTTTTTTGCCTTAATGTTGATTTTTTAAGATATGGCATTAAAATATTATTTTAAAAGTACTTATCTTGATTACTGGGTTTTTTTTTGGGGGGGGGCCTTAATGTTGTACCCAAGGTAAGTGCCTCACTTTCACCCTAGCCCCTGCCCTGGCTATTACCCTTTCAAACCATCAGTACAAATCTGTTACATGGAACAGCTTTGGCTCAATGATAGTTTTTAAAGATGGTTCAGCACAGAGTAGAGCAAAGAGATCATCAGCAGTAGGCAAGATGAAAATTATCTAGAAACCTGTGTGAGGGAGCCAGCTCAGTGGTGTAGTGGTTAAGTTCGCGTGCTCGGCTTCAGTGGCCTGGGGTTTGTTGGTTTGGATCCTGGGCACAAACCTACTCACCACTCATCAAGCCATGCTGTGGCAGCGTCTCACATAGGAGAACTAGAACAACCTACAACCAGGATATACAACTATGCACTGGGGTTTGGGGAGAAAAAAAAAAGAAAGCTGTGTGATTAAGAAATTTGAATAATGTAGGTTTACAAGGTAAACATTAGAACAAAGAGAAAGATGAACAGAGTCTGGGATGGTTAGGAGGTGCTGGCAGGGATCCCAGAGAAGGAGTGGAATTTTCACATCCCCTGTACCCTCTGGTAGACCCTCATTGTCCTTTAACCTTTGCTTCTCAAAAAAAAAAAAAAGAAAAGAAAAAAGAATCCCAAGATGCCGTGAGTCTGGCCTCACAGTTCAGTCCTGAAAAGAGAGGAGGCCAGGAGTTAGATGCTGGGTCCCTGAGGGATAGAGACTAGCAGTGGGGGCTGGACAGAGGGACCAGGATTAACCTCTAAACCTCTTTGCAGAAAGGTTGGGAAGAGCCAGTTTCAGAACAAGTAAATCCAAGCAATTTAGAGATGCCAGTCTCATGGAAATGGGGTCTAGGAGGCTTGTCTTGACACCATGCTGGCTTAAAACGCAAACCGATAACATGTACAAATGGGGCCTAGTGTCCATACCTGCTCCACCACTGATGCTGGAGAGATAAGAAAAAGGGAGGGGCTCACGTCATCCTCGGCCAGACAGAGCCTCAGGATCCCTGTTCTACCCCTTAATGTTTTGGATGAATCCAACATTTTATTTGCCTTATGTCAGCAAACAAGCAGGGAGTACAGCTAGGGAAATCTCACCCCTGAGCCATGTTTCTATTTCTTTTTCCACTATTGTTCCCTTAACAAAGGCTTTAAGACATTTTTTTGTCCTAATTGCTTTCTGCCTTTATCTCATGAAACGTTAATACCTTATATATCTGTTTATGTACGTGGCCCTTTGGAGGGCCACAAACCATTGTAATATCTAAGATGTTGTTGCCCTGCCCCCTTTGAGAATGCATGATCCAAGGCCAGTTCCGCCACTGGTTTTTGGATTTTATCTCCTCCCTTAGGGTCTTCCCCTCATCACTTATCCTTGTTGTCTTGCATCTTAACCTCTCACTCTCACTGGCTCTACTGGTCACCCATCTCCAGCTATGCCTCTCTCTCTGTTCCCTTCAAGGCCTTAATTCTTGAAAGGCATGCTACGCTCCGATCTGCATGCTGCCTCCATCTCTCTGAACCTGTTCTCCATAATATCACAAACGATCTGCATGTCCCCTCACACACATTCCCCTTCACCCAGCAATCCCATGTAAAAGAGCTTCTGGCAGCACTTGCTCAGGAGATAAGACCTGAATGCTATGTTTCTAACCAGCTGAAGATTCTAAATGACCATGAATACCGAGTAACACTGGTATGCCCAATCCTTAGTGGACCTAAGACGACTCTAACTAAAGAACAATGGGTCTTGTTTCAACCAACTGTGTGGACTCAATCCAACCTCTCCAGGGAACAAGCTTTCAACCTTTAATTAGCATAAACATCATGAACACCCCCTTTCTAGCAGTTAAAAATCCCTGACTTATCCCCAGCTCTGAACAACTCAGTCAATGGCTTGTCTGGTGTAGTCCTCTGTCTGACAAGTAAAGACATTCAGCTTTGTTGATTGCTGGTGTTTTATTTGCTTGTTTGGTTTTTTTTTTTTATTCGGATGGTCTTTTATCCTTCCACCCTTTTCTTGGACTCTAACCCATAGAAATAAAACCACCAAGCGCATAAGGCTATAAGTACAAACATGCCTTTGTAGCACTCATCATATGTCCAAAAACTGGAAACTGCTGAATGCTCATCAACAGAGGAAAGGCTGAATGCACTGTGGGGCAGCATGCAGCTGCTGAACAGAATGAACCAGAGGTACAGCAGTCCCCCTTTACCTGCGGGAGATACTTTCCAATGCCCCCAGTGGATGCCAGAAACCACGGATAGTACCAAAACCTACATGTACTATTTTTTCCTGTACATACAGACCTATGATAAAGTTAAATTTATAAATTAGGCATAGTCAGTGATTAACAACATCTAACAATAAAATAGAACATTTATAACAATAGACTGTAACAAAAGTTACTGTAGCATACGATTTTTTTTCTTTCCTTACTAAGTCAAGAACTTTCACCTTTTCACTTAAAGCAGCACTTTATCGCTTCTCTTTGGTATATCCAAATTGCCAGCAGCAACACTCTTGCACTTTGGGGCCATTATTCAGTAAAATAAGGGTGACTTGAACACAAGCACTGCAATACGTCGACAGTCCATCTGATAACTGAGGTGATACCGCGACAGTCCATCTGATACTGAGACGCTACTAAGTGATTAACAGGCCGGTAGTGTGTACAGCGTGGATACACCAGACAGAAGCATGATTCACGTCCTGGGCAGGACAAAGCAGGATTTCATCACACTACTCACACTGGCACGCAATTTAAAAATTATAAATTGTTTATTTTTGGAATTTTCCATTTAATATTTTCGGACCATGGTTGACCGCAGGTAACTGAAACCACGAAAGCGAAACCGCGGATAAGGGGGCACTACTGTATAACCATTGAACTACAGAGATTTCCATGAGATACATTTCTTAAGTGAGAAAAGCAAGCTGCAAATGTATATAGTGCAGCACAGATTTTTTAAACAACCAAAACCAACCACTCCTAGGAGTGTATTCATGATTGTAGATGCTTCCATGATTCTACAGAAAGCTGAGCAGTCTCTTCGGGCTTGACTTGGGCATACCTGCTAGGATGGGAACAGCAGAGATGGGAGGAAGAGGAGCACGGGCAGCAAAGGGACAAGCATCTGCCAGTTTTTTTCTCTCTGAAGGGACACATAGCTCCCTGGGAGCAAACTCTGACTCTTCCCTGAGCCTTGAATGTCACCTCTCCAGCATCCTTTTGAGGTCCCACAAAGGCTCTCTCTTCCCTGTCACACCCTCCCCTTTCCCACTGCCAGCCCAATACTCGTTTGGTATGCAGAGTTGGTGGACGACGAGGAGGTAAATTTGTCCAAAGGGCCCAAGACACCACCTGGAAGAAAAAAGATTGAGACACGAATTTTTTTTGACACTGTTCAATGTTAATTAAGTCCTCTCTGAAAGATTGAGAAGGTTCTACTAGAGATCCACCGGCAGGAAAGAACACTAAGGGGCCCAAAACGGAACCCTCTGTGAGGAAAGTGTTCTGGTCAACACCAAGGCCTAAAGGTTTAAGAGGCTGAGGCTGGACACAGCCCTGGCACAGGCCGCTAGCACCACAGTCACACTTGATGACCTTGCCCGAGCCTGTGTGCACTAAGAGTTGGGAAGCCCAAGTGTTTGTCATTGTTGCAGCCTATGCAGGGATCCCTGCAGCCCTAGAAAATGACCCATTAGACTCTGCAGGACAATGTTTCCCTGGGTTACACCACTGAACAAGGAGAGAAGCAAATGAGAGCACTCAGAGAGGGAAGTGCTGGACTTCCTGCAAATAGGGGTGGGTGGGTACTGAAATTACTAATTGGAAAAACAGATGATACAACATCTACCCTGAAATCAGACCCTATATTTACATAGTTTATAATGCCACATTTGTATGTCCAATTTGTCTTCAAAGAACAAACACAAATTTATATAGCCCCGTGCCAACTATGGGCTCCAAACACTTGTGCAGCAAGGACCAGAGTTATCCCCTACACCAACTGCGCTTTGAGCCACCTTGGCATAGGAGAAATGGTTATTCTTATGTTTAGAAAAACACTTTAACAAGCCTTTTTGGCTATGAAATTTAAGGTCCATCCCCCTCACCAACACCCCCAGGGGGAGAATAATCTGGTGAGAGAAGCTTTGATCAAGAAGTTAAATTGTTCTGCAAAGAGAGGTAATGGGAATGTGGGAGTCAGCTCCTGGCACAGAGAACAGGGCCCTGGGAGTCTGGAAGAGGAGAGTTTAGCTTTGGCACATGTGGCAAATGTGGGCTTCCTACTGCAAAGGGCCCAGGCAAAACGAAGCCCTCGGTCCCTCCTGTGGCATACATAAGAACAAAATGGTAATTGTCAGGACAAATAAAAACGTTAAAATAAGAGCCTTAATTCTTTATGTTGAAAATAAGAGATTTCTCTCTCCCTCACTTTCCTTAGAGCATTTACTCTAGAAAACTTATCATTGTTCTTTCTCTGTCTCTTTGAAATGTGTGTAAATCTTTTTAGCAGCTCAACAAGCATCTTGCCAGCTTTATGATCCAGGAATGTCTTTCCCAATGACGTGGGAGCCACCTCTTTGAAATGCCAACATCAAGGGAGATAGCACCCCTCTCTCCCTGTTTCTGTGGGAGGGTAGGAGCCTTAGGGGGGCTCCCTTCCCCAAGTTGCAAAACTACCTCCCATCATAAAGATTCGAGAACTTTGTTTTTCCTATGATTAAGCTTATTAATAACAGAGACGGTCACCAATTACCAGGTAAAGTTAGGATGCACTATGGGTGACGAATGGTGCCGTCAAGCCTCTTACTTGAGGCCTAGTTATTGTGTACCTTGAGAACATGTGTGTCATGGGTTGTATCTGCTTGGCTATATAAGAGAGTAAGATTTCTTTCTGTCTTTGTCTTCGTGGTCTCTCAGTGGACTGCCTGTGAGGCATGTCACATTCTGGTTTAATGCTTACTCAATAACAAAACTGTTTTCTTTCTCTACTACCTTTGTAGAGAGGGTTTTCTGGGTTGGGAAATTTTGTTTTTAATTACATTCCCCCAACATAATGCACGTGTTTAAAAAGGAGAAAGAAAAAAAAATGTGGAAGGAAGGGTCTTAAGGAGTAAGACCCCTAGTGAGAGGCTGGGGGCTTTGGAGGGACATGGAAAAACAGTATGTGCTGGAGAAAGGCAGAGGAATCTCCAGGAGGAGGGATGCTGATATTCAATTGGAAATTGTTTCCAGTCTGTAAATAACAGAATAATAGCAGCTAATGCATACTGGCATTGTTCTAAGTGTTTTAAACATATTAATTCATTTAGCATATGCAGTAACTTGGATTGTTGTTCTTAATTATTCATTCCCCCCCTCTGCCATGTGACCTTGAAGTACCTAGAGTGGACAGAGAAGGTGTCACAAAACAGCAGAGAAGCAGGCTCAAGGATGGACTGATTTTGGAAGTAGGTATGAAACAAACTTTCTTTTCTACGCAAAAGTGACCTTTGGAAGAAAAAAAAAAAGTGATCCTTGAAGGGCATGCATGGAAAAGGCCAGATTCAGCTACGACACAGGAGGGCACTGTGAGCCATTTTATTTGGATATTACAGAATAGGGTGACCCCCTAAACTGGAGGAACAGGGGGCTGGCAAACGGCAGACACCAGTCCTGAGCACAGAGGATGTGGGTCGGAGTGGGTCTATGAAATAAGAAGGGGAATGGCACCCAGTAAGGATCAGACACTTTTGCGAGGTTTGGAGGCTGGAAGGCAGGTCTAGAATCCCTTTTATCCCCACCAATAACCAACACGCCAGGCCATTTTTGAGGGTCTGGCTCAACAAAGCAGATTTACCTTGCCCTGCCCCAACCCAGGCCACTAGACACAGGCAGTGTGAACCAAAGGCTTATAATGATCTGGACCACGGAGATCTAGACAGGGACCTGCAGGAGGCTTCATCTGATTCCTGGGTGGGTGACAAAGCCTGGGCCCTGAATCATCCTTGTAAGGTTTACAAAGTCCCTCATCAGCACTGGCCTGACAGATGTTCCCTGGTTTCCTGCCCTGGGGGCCTTGAAGGAAATAGCTTGGGGTGAGGGGGAGGGAGAGTGGGATAAGGACAAGAGAGATGAAAGAAGCAGAACTTCATGCCTAATAAAAGATGTTTACATATAATTTTTTAGGAGAAAACAGAATTCTGGTAGGGGAAGTAGGTACCAGGGTCAGTGAGATGAGACCAAATAAAAATCAATCTGGAACATAGTGAAAAGGCAGGAGCTGCATTCACCTGGAAAGGACAAAGTTCATGGGAATTGCCCATGTATGCTGGGTCCCTATGTGACTCCACACTGCACACTAACACCTGGGCCTCTGACATTTTCTGCACCCACTATGAAGGTTGGAAAAAGGAGGTTTCACTGCCCTGCCTCATTTAGGCCTCTCTGGGTTTCTGAGGTACCTAGGGTCCTAATGCCTGGATGTGTGAAACCAGGTTCAGAGAGAGTCTTTGAGTTGTTACCCTTCCAGGTTCTCTGCAGTCTGGGGAACTCCTGGTCATTTACTGAAGAACTGGGCTCAAATTCGTAGAAATCAGGAACTGAAGGACTTAAGGGCCATAGCGGGTCTAGCAGCAGGACATCCACGGGAGCCCAGCGCAGCCTCCCAGGCCCGCCCTCCCCAGGTCCCAGCCCAGCAAAGCGGAGACTCTTCCTCGGCTGGGAAGACCGACTCACCTCTTCTTCCTCCTAGCTCTCCCAAAGGCCTGAAGACCTCAGGAAATGCCCTCACCCTTGCTCCCTCCAACCCCGAGGCACCTGGGCCCCCGCCTACCCCGGAGATCCAGAGAAGTCCAGCGCATCCATCCTTTCCTCCTCGCCCAGGCCAGGGCCCCTTTAATCTTCCCGCAGCTACGCTCCGACGGGGAGGCACGGCCCTTGCCCACAGCCTGCTCTGCGGCTCGCAGGTTCGGACTAGTCTGGGGCGGGGACTTGGGAGGGAGCGCCTGAAAGCTGTGAAGAGGGCGGGGACGCAGACCCATCTTTAAAGGCCGGGAACTGGCCCTAAGGCACCTCGACACCCGCCGGCGGCCCTGGGCGGTCCCGAGAAGCGCGCAAGACGCGGCTCCCCTTCAACTAAGCTACTGGGGGCCGCCATGGGCCGCTACCGCATCCGCGTGGCCACCGGGGCCTCGCTCTTCTCCGGGTCGCACAACCGCGTGCAGCTGTGGCTGGTCGGGGCGCGCGGGGAGGCGGAGCTGGAGCTGCAGCTGCAGCCGGCGCGGGGCCAGGTCAGCGGGCGGGAGCGGGGACCCTGACCCTGGCCCGGGCTCGGCTCGCGGCGGGAGGGCGGCTCGGAATCGGGAGGCTGGGGGCGAGCGACAGCGCCTCCGCGCCGGCTGAGACGCCCAGGGAGTGGGGACTCCCGCGCCAGGAGTGCGAAGAGGGTCAAGAGCCAGGGCCAGGCTGGGCTCAACCCCCTTCTCTCTTCCCGACTCAGGTCCTCGCAGCCTCCAACTCCTTCCCCAAAAGACCCCAGAGCCAGTGGCACTATAGGATCAATATAGGATGAGGGGTCAAACCTGAAGCTCCTGGGGAGAGCGTGGGCGGGGTGAGAGCTCAGCAAAGGGACCGATGCGGGTGCTGATGCTCAGTCAATTCAGACACCGCAGGCCACGCCCCGCGCTCCCTCGTCCTCTCTGCGACCGGGCGTCTGAGACACAGCCCGCAGGTGTCGCGAGGAGGGAACGAGGGAATGCTATCTTTGGAGGCCTTGTCAACCCAGACTCCACAAAGATCCTCGCCTCTTCTCGTCCCCGCCCCATCTCTGACCCCCAACTCCCAACCCGGACGAAACGGCCTCTCCCGGGTCCCTGCTACTAAGTCTCGCCGGGTTCTGGCCTCCGCAGGAGGAAGAGTTTGATCGAGACGTTTCCGAGGACTTGGGGCCACTGCACTTCGTGAAGCTGCGCAAACACCACTCCCTGGTGGACGACGCGTGGTTCTGCGACCGCATCACGGTGCAGGGCCCTGGAGCCTGCGCGGAGGCCGCCTTCCCGTGTTACCGCTGGGTGCAGGGCGAGGGCGTGCTGAGCCTGCCCGAGGGCACCGGTGAGGGGCAGCGGCGGGGAACTGGGGCAGGGCCTCGGGAACCACTGGGAGAGGGGGCACTGATGAAGGTCGGAAGAGACTAGAAAAAGTGGGTGCTCAGCAGGTTAAGGGTGGAAAACGCAGGATGCTTGAAACGGAAGAAAAAATGTATAAAGTCCTGAAGTTGGATGTAGAATAGGCGGACACAGAGAAGCGATCTGAAGGTTTCCTCTTCCAAGAAGGGGAGGACGGGGAATAGGAGTTGCAGCAATGATGGAAAACTGAAGAGCAAAGTAAAAGTGGGAAGGAGACCGCTATGTGATGGGGAACAAGTTAGGGCAGGGCAGGGTAGCACATGGCACATGAGATGGCCAGTGACCCCTGAGAGGAGACAGCTAAGGGAAGCAAATGATATAACCTTGGAGAGCTGAAAAGTTAGAAAAACAAGGAAGATCACTGTGAGAGACAGGGAGCTCCTGGCAGGGGATGGCAATGAATGAGGACGGCAATACAGAATTTGTTACTGTGGGAAATGAGAGATGAATACAAAGACAAACGAGGGCAAGGACAATAAGGATGGAAATATAAAATATATGACTTCGAGACAGGTAAGTAAAAATACAGATAAGAGCAGGAACAAAAATACAGACTATGATGGTAAGTCTAGGAAAGATGAAGTCAGGCAAAGAAAGCAAACAGTTGTTCCTCAATGGTTTTTGAGGACAGCTGAAGGTGTGGCCGGTGAGGTTCAAGACGTGAAATTAACCAAAGCAATATATAATAGAAAACAGGTGTGGGCATATGGGTGACTAAGATTTTATCACCTTAATTAGAGTGATTTATCCAACCGTAAATATTGATGAAATAGGATCAGGTAGGGAAAGATGAGTTAAAGGACAAGAAAGGGTGGCAAACCTGAGATTTTTGTCTCAAAGTAAGGGATGAGGGCTGAGATAAGTGAAACCAGGAGTGGAAAGTTGGCAAAGATGGGATAAATGTGTCTGGGGGATCAAGTGAGGCACAGCCAGAGATAAAAGCAACAGAGCATGAGTGAACACATGGACTATGACTACAAAAAGGAAGATGGGGACAAGCAGGGAGAGCACAGGACCACACAAAACTGTGTGGCCAATTGTCTTAATGTCTCCCCAGCCCGCCTGGCAGGAGACAATGCATTGGACATGTTCCAGAAACATCGAGAGAAGGAACTGAAGGAAAGACAACAGATATACCGGTGACCACCAACTCGTGGGCCCCCCCAAAGGTCCCTCCCCTTCCCTGGCCCTGCCTCCCAATCATTGACCTGGACACCTTCCCTGAAGCCTTGTCCCCATCTCCTAGCTGGGCCACCTGGAAGGAAGGGTTGCCCCTGACAATAGCTGCGGGGACTAAGGATGACCTACCTCCAAATATGAGATTCCACGAGGAGAAGAGACGGGACTTTGAATGGACAATGAAGGCAGGGTGAGAAAATGCCTGGAGCTCAGAGTGGAACAGGCCTGGGAGATCCAAGAATGGTGGTAAATGGTGAGGGCCTGAGGGATGAGCAAACAGGTTCGTGCCTCAATTCCTGTCCTAGGGCTCTGGAGATGGTCCTCAAACGCGTTTATACCTTCCTGAGCTCCTGGGACCGCCTAGAAGATTTTGATCAGATCTTCTGGGGCCAGAAGAGCGCCCTGGCTGGTCAGTGGTTCCCCAAGGTCTCTATAACCCCTTGATGACCCCTTTCGATGCCCTGAACTTCACACTCCACAGTTCCCCATTCCTCCTTGCCAGATGAGACCTTATAGTGCCTGATCATCTCACAGAGGCCTCAAGAATGAAAAGCCAGGGACTAGATACAGGGTGGTCATATGCCTGAATCACTGGGGTAGGGCCTGAAGGAGAGGGACATCTGGGCTGTGCTAAATATTCTCCTCCTACACTCCACCCCAACCCCACAGAGAAGGTTCACCAGCGCTGGCAGGATGATGAGTTTTTTGGTTACCAGTTCCTCAACGGTGCCAATCCCATGCTGTTGAGACGCTCCACCTCTCTGCCCTCCCGGCTAGTGCTGCCCACGGGGATGGAGGAGCTTCGGGCCCAGTTGGAGAAAGAACTTGAGGTACATCCTCCTACCCTCCATCCTTCTCTTGGCAGTGTGGGGAGAAGAAGTGGTGAAAGGGGATTACCAAAGATGAGTCAGGGAAGGGAGGCTGCGGTAACCCACTGTCCCTTGTGCAGAGTCCTGTGTAGAAAAATCTAGAGATGATGAAGTATGTAGGGAAAACTACAAGGAGCTCCCAGCACGGAGAGGGAAAAAGGATGGATTCCCAGGGCACAGATGGGGCCAGAGATGTTAGTAGGGATAATGATAGTCCCTGTCAGTGCTCCTGACACCAGTGTTTACGGGCAGGGAGAAAAGTGGACAATGTGCTGCGAGGTGGGGAGAATTAGGGAGGTTTCCTGGAGGAGGAAATCTGGGTTTGGAAGAGATGAGCTGGATATGAGGAGGACAAGCAAGGTGGGATATGAGCATGTCCACGTGCATATGTGTGCTGGATTCAGTGGCAGTGGTAGTTAGGAGAGCCTCTGTGGAGTACTTGGCAGAGGTGAGATTTGGACAGGGAGTGAAAGAGCATTCGATGAGCTGGTAGGAGCCAAACACAGGGAGCAGACCACTGAGGGATGATGGGGAAGGGGCCTGGACGTCTTGACACGACAGTTTACAATGCCTGTAATGCAAACTGGCCTGAGCAGGCCTGGTTCTAAATCCAGATCTGCTACCACATCCCTGTACAAGATATGTACCCTCACTAGGCTGTTACTTCACTTGTTTAAAATGACAGAAATGGGACCAGATGCCAGTAGGATTCTGGTACTGATACGAGATGATGGCAAGAAACTACATAAATGTCTTTAAATGTCTTCCCTCTTTGCCCTGGCCCTCTGCAGGTAGACTCTGAACTCTAATGATGGATATGTTCCTCCTTTCCCCAGAACAGTTCCCTGTTTGAGGCCGACTTCATCCTTCTGGATGGGATTCCAGCCAATGTGATCCGAGGAGAGAAGCAGTACCTGGCTGCACCCCTTATCATGCTAAAGATGGAACCCAATGGGAAGCTGCTACCCATGGTCATCCAGGTGAGGCACCCTGGGCATTCCCCTACCAACGGTGCTGTCTGTTCACCCCAACCTCTGCTCCCCAGGGACCTAGCCCCCTAGATCCTGGCTCCCAAACTCCATCCTCAATGCAGTGAGACCTGTCCTCATGTCACTCTTTGCTTGCTTGCAGTCTGGTCTCCTCTGACTCACCCAACTGGAAGTACTTGTTCAAGAGTCATAATGACCTTTTGGAGTTCTCATCCTGTACCCAGTGGTTCTCAAACTTTAGTGTGCATCAGAATCACCCGAAGGGCTTATTAAAACACAGGTTGCTGGGTCCCACCACCAGACTTTCTGATTCAGTAGGTCTGGGGTGGGACTGAGAATTTGCATTTCTAACAAGTTCTAAAGTGATGCTGATGCTGCTACTTTGGGAACACACTTTGAGAATCACTATTTAATCTCCCAGTAGTCTCTGACTCTAAATACCCACCGTCTCTTGAATATCTTTTCTCTCGCAGTTCTCAACAGTCAGTTAACAAGTACTGTCAATCATCTCACACATCTGGCTTCCCCTTTCCCTTCCCTACCTACCCTAACTCGACCCCATCACTTTTCTCCCAAACCACTGTTAGGATCCTCTTACTGGACTCCCTGCTTCTGACTCTCCTGCATTCAACCCGACCATCATGGCACTCGCATGGCACCACAGCTAGTGAGAGGCAGGGTGGAAGGGTCCTCATTCCTCCTCCTAGGTTATAACTTCCTGGAAATCATCTTAGTCACTCATCTCTGTTTCCCCAAGGATGCTGACCATAATGTCATACATAAATTGGAAGTTCAATAAATGCTTAATTTATTTTTCCCAGATCCAGCCACCCAACCCCAGCTCCCCAACCCCACCACTGTTCCTGCCCTCAGATCCTCCACTTGCCTGGCTCCTGGCAAAGTCCTGGGTCCGAAATTCAGATTTCCAACTGCACCAGCTCCAATATCATTTGCTGAACACTCATCTGGTGGCTGAGGTCATCGCTGTCGCCACCATGAGGTGCCTCCCAGGGCTACACCCTGTCTTCAAGGTACATCCTCTACCATCCCTGTCCCATCTCACTCAGATGCCAGAGAGAGGAAACTGCCCACTATCAAATGATGCTGCGGCAGCAAAAAATACTTATTGCAATTTGTGAAAGAAAGTGAGGAGAAAAGAAGGAAGACTGTATCAATATCTTGAGACATTTTAATTAAGTTGAGTCACTTAACATTTCTTCAGGACATATTATTAAGGTAGCCCTCTGAAATTCTCAGAGATCTGACAATATAGCAATGGGCCTGGAGTATATAGGTGGAATATGGTTAGTAAAACAAAAGCCCCATACTTGCCTTAGGGGACTTACTATTGAGCCAGGCAGACAAGTGATGCGCATAAGAACCAACCAGAGAACAATGTCTGGAACTAGAATTTGAAATTACAAGAGATAGCCCATAAACCCTACAGTATTGATGGAGAATGTTCTACCCTAACTGAGGAGTCTGCTAAGTAGGCAAGGAGAGCACCCCAGCAGGCTACCTATACCTGCCCAGGAGAGAGGTGGAGAAGGACATGGATTGGCAAGGTGGTGACGGGAATGAAAAGGAAAACAATCAAAGACTTGGTGAGGGGAGGAAACAGTAGCTGCAGCATGCCTGAGTATAAGACTGGAGAGGGAAAGGTCCGAGGTCTAAGGTTCTGCAACACCTAAGAGCCCTACGGGGTGGGTGGGTTGTACCAACCTAGAAATACCGTAATTTTATTAAAAAGTGAGTTCAGAATCTATTGCTAGGCAGAAGGCAGCAACATGGCTTGTGCTTGCTTAAAAATGTTCTCAGAATCCTGATGAAACCTTAGATATAGGGAACATGGGAGAAAAGGGACAAAACTGATACAAGCTAATGAACCAGAGCAATTGTCAGAAACAGCAAAGTCAGAAGAAGCCAGTTTGGAAGCAAAGATAAGGTACTTAGGTTTAAGTACGTGGAGTTTGAAATGCTGACAAGATACGCAAGTGAGTAGCTGGTAAGGAGAACAGCTGAACTGTGTTTCCACTGGGGATCTCTACTCCAACCCCCCAAGCCTGGCCAATAGTAGCTGTGGCCTTTTGAGTCCAGGGTAACACAGGCAAGATGGAGACCAGTGTGATTAACAGAATCTTGGATTTTACTGATCTCACGGTGCTCCTGCATCACCATCTTCTGCTCACTTTGAACAGGTTAAGCCTCTACTCACACTTTACTAGTTCAGCCCTCTATCTCCACTCACCATAACAACTTCATCCCCTGGCAAACAGCTGAGTTGTTATCAGGACACACAGGAAGGCTGAGCCTACAAATGGCACCGAGGCTACGTGTTCAGGCTCCAGATTCAGATTGGCGGGGTCAGAATCCTCAATCCTGGCCTCAGTACTTACCAGATGCATGCTCAGTGTCCTCATCTCTAAATGGGGATGACAGGAGCTCCATCGTGGGGTTGATGAGGATAAAACAACATAACACAACAGTGTGACACAGGCTAAAAGCTACGAAAAAATTAGTTCTTGCAATTATTATAACTATTACTAGTTGTTTGTCCTCAGGTACCTTCTTTCCTCATGCAGACTTGGGGCTTTCTATGACACTCAGCATCTTTCATGAACTTTCTGAGAAATGTCAGACCAATTTGAGCTGCTTTGACATCTTGACACCAGAGGTATTACCTGGGTTGTTCCCTGTGTCCAGCATCACCAGTTCAGATAAAGAGCAACACTGCATGAAACCTGCATATAAACTGGGTAAAAATGAAGACAAAATAGTCTGAGATAAAAAGAAATGCATGTGAGGATCAGATGGCCTTTTTTAATAGCTAAGGAACAGCTATTTTTAAAAAAGCTATTAAAAATAGAGGGGGCCTAACAGCCCAATTGGGGGAGGACGCAGATTTGACAAGAGCCCCTCTGCTGCTTAAGCAGGTAGCTCAGTATGGCTCCTCTAATTGTGACTAACTCTAACTGACAAAAACCAAACAGTGAAGCAACCAGAGGATGGAGGTATGGCTTTGATAATGAATACAGGGGCTAATTTAAGCTATGAGGATGTAAATGACAGAAGCATAAAAGAAAATCAAAAGGGGCTGATTCTTAAAGGACACCTACACTCAAGGTGGAAATAATAAAGATAAATGATAACAGCTTCTGTGTGTACTAAACACTCTTCATACATCACTCACATAAGCATCACCACAGCCTTCTGAGATAAGAGACCCTATTATCACTCTCTATTGACAGATGAGGTGCTAGATGGGAGATGTGACAGATTAACATATAGAGGGTCCATTACCTTGGATGAGTATCAAAGTGAGTAGTGAAGTATAGATTGAAACCGAGCTCAGTCTAGCTCCAGGCCTGAAGCAGAGGAGATTAAAGAGCATGAGAGGGAGTGACCATAGAAGCAGGAGGAGACCAGCCTGTCAAGGCGGGAGCAGAGAGGAAAGCATAAAGAGGAGAGAAGACCACCATGCTGGGTGCCACTCCATACAAGGAAGGACCTAAGCATGTCCTCCATAAACTGCCCCCTTCCAATCTCCATCACAGCTCCTGATCCCACACATCCGCTACACCATGGAAATTAACACCCGGGCAAGGACCCAGCTCATCTCAGAAGGTGGTATATTTGATAAGGTAAGGAGAGACTGGGGCGTGGGGCTGCCTAATCATCCAACTCTCTATGACTTCCTGTCACTTTCAAGATCCCAGACCAACCCGTGTGAATGTCCTGACCCTTCAAACCATAAGCCTGTCCCTTTAGACCCATGTCTTTAAATGTGAAAACCCCACATCTGACCCCTCATATACTCTGCTCTATGTTCTCCCTCAAAGCCTCTCATCTCTCTTGTCCCAGGCAGTGAGCACAGGTGGAGGGGGCCATGTGCAGCTGGTCCGTCAGGCCATGGCCCAGCTGACCTACTGCTCCCTCTGTCCTCCTGACGATCTGGCTGACCGAGGTCTGCTGGGAATCCCAAGTGCTCTCTATGCCCACGATGCTTTGCGGCTCTGGGAGATCATTGCCCGGTGGGTGAGAGTGGGAGCTGAGAAATGGAGGGGCGTCGGGGAGACGGAGAGTGGGGCTCTGACCTGAGGTCAGCATGAGGCAAAAGAAACACATGAAAACAGGAAGGTCCAGACAGGAGGAGGAGAGGATTCAATCCTGGGGAGATGAGGGAGTGTGTGGAGTCAGTGGGGAGGTCTGAAAAGGAGGAATGTGGAATAGGAGTAGAGAGCCTCGGTCGGGAAAGCTGTGGAGGGGGAGACTGAGGGATCTGGACAAATCAGGGTTCTTGTCCGGAAGAATGGCCAGCAACCACATGTAGGGAATTCCCAGAACTAAGGACCCACATTTCATTCCTTTCCACACTAGTGTGCAGAAAGAGCCAGGGAAAGTCCCAAAAGGCATGTGTTGAAGAATCTATCCTCAGACACAGTGAGAGTCAGTTGGACAGAGACCACAGGAAAGTTAGAGGAAGGAGGCTGGAGCCTTCCCCCCTCAAGGAGCTCCCCTCCCTTCTCCTCTGGGCAGGTACGTGGAGGGGATCGTCCACCTCTTCTACCACAGGGATGACACCGTGAGAGGGGACCCTGAGCTGCAGGCCTGGTGTCGGGAGATCACTGAGGTGGGGCTCTGCCAGGCCCAGGACCGAGGTAAAACCCCTCCCCAGAGACAGGAGCTCCTCAGAGACTCTGCCCAGAGCCCCTTCTCAGCCCTGCCCTTCTGGGTTCAGGACCCCGACCCCTCATCTCAACCCCCTCTCCAGCCATACATGAAGCATCTGAATCCCCTTCCCACCTCCTAAGACCCAGGACAATTCTACATACCCAAGAATTGTCTTCCTCAGAGACCCTGACCATCAACCTCTACTACCACCCCCTAGCCCAAGTCACAGATGCCCCACACCTGCCACAGCACGGAACCCAGTCAGGCCAGAACCACAGACAGTGAGAGATCTGCCCAGGCCCTGTTGGGGTTCACATTCTCTTTATGGTTGTCTATTTTCCTACCTGAGGATATAAATGGGAAGATTTTTCCATCAAAGCCCATGATGACCCACTCTGCTTTCCCTTCCTTCTCCTCCTGCCTGCTACCATCCAGCACACACAGATAGTCCAGGCATTCTGCACACATCCACAGCGCAAGGTCATTCTAGGTACAAATCCAATACTCTCCATGCTTTGGCTCAAACCCAGACTCAGTGCCCTGCCCGTTGGGGTTCATGTTTCTTTAGCCAATCCAGCCTCCCCCCACCCCTGCTAGGATCTAGCCACTACCTCTAGCTCCCCCCGCTGCATTTTAACCTCTGGGGAAGAAACAGCTTTCCTTGAGCTCTTCCCAGGTTCATCCTCCCCTTTCTAACACACATGGGCCAGCCTGGACTGCTTCATATCAACCTTCAGTGCCTGCCCCTCACACTTCACACCATCTCTGCCTCTGTGGGGCAACTACAAACATTTGTAGAGGAAGCCTGGGGAGGATAGAGAGCCCTTATGGTCAGGCCCTGGGGATGCAGTGAGCAGTAAACCAACTCCTGCACTCTGGAGGGAGCCCCTCCCCAGGGAATCTGTGGCCGCACCATCCCTACCCTTCCAGAATCAAACTTTCTCTAGTACTTCTCAGGACTGCTCCTTACGCTCCATATGCCCCCAAAAGACCCTTCTTCCTCTCCCTAGCCATCTTTTTCCCAACAAGTATCTACATTTGGAAAATAAAAATAAACATTCACATGTTAATATTAACCTCCACTAACCACCTCTCATTCTCTTCACTCTCCCTCAGTTCTCAAAGCTCACCTTTGCCTAATTTCCCCAACAGACTTTTTAAGAGGAAATGTGCTAAAATTAAAAACAGCCTCAGATTAGCAGCCAGGAATCTGAGTTCAAGGTCAGCCTCTGCATTTTCCCAACTACTCAATCCTGACACACAGTTTAATCTCTCTGGTCTTTGATTTTTCTTTTAATCTATAAAAAGGAGGTGAATATATTTGTTCTACTTCACTATAGGATTATGGGGTCTCTGGGCCCCCACCTCCACTGTAGAGTGGCCCGAGACAAGCTTCATGGAAAGCCTCTCTTGGCTGTTACACTATAAATCCATGACTTCTCTTATTCCTCACCTTATTACTCAGACACTTCTAATTCCCCATCTAGGCATAGGAGGAAGCATGCCTAAATCCTTAACCACTTATTGAGGCAGAGGATATTTATCACTCAGACCTCTTCAGTCCCTGACACTTCCATAATAACAATAATTATTATTTATTGAGCTCTTGTTACATACCAGGTGATTTCAATAGATTATCTCATTTATAAGGCAGGTATCATCTACATTTTACAGGTGAAGAAATTGAGGTTCAGAGAGGTTAAGTGATTGGCCTAAAGTGACCAAACTATATTGCTTGAGCCTGAGTTGAAACCCATGTCTGATACAAACATATTTAAATATATGAGTAAATGAACGAACACCCCTCAATTCCAAAATATAGATATCCCAAGACATCAGCCTTTATCTCTCTCCTCTCATGCTGTAACCTCTAAATCTTGTTCCTTTCCTGCCCAGGTTTCCCTGTCTCCTTCCAGTCCCAGAATCAACTCTGCCATTTCCTTACTATGTGTGTCTTCACGTGCACTGCCCAGCACGCGGCCATCAACCAGGGCCAGGTATGAATAGCTGAAAGCCCAGGTCCCTGAAGGCAAGTGTCTGGACCTTGGGATGCCCGAGAGAGAGGGGGTTCAAACCCTAAGTAGCGGGATCCTAGGGCTAGTTTCTTCCCCCAGCTGGACTGGTATGCCTGGGTCCCTAACGCCCCATGCACAATGCGGATGCCCCCACCCACCACCAAGGAAGATGTGACAATGGCCACAGTGATGGGCTCACTACCTGACGTCCGACAGGCCTGTCTTCAGATGACCATCACCTGGCATCTGGGTCGCCGACAGCCAGACATGGTAAGAGAGGGCTCTGGGGAAAGGGAAGTGACAGTTGGAAGGGAGACATCAGAGTGAGGGGTTAGGCTCTTGGGGCTTCTGCCTTTGGACTAGAAACTGACCGATCCTTTGTTCTTTCTTAGGTGCCTCTGGGGCATCACAAAGAAAAGTATTTCTCAGGTCCCAAGGCCAAGGCTGTACTAAACCAATTCCAAACAGATCTGGAAAACTTGGAAAAGGAGATTACAGCCCGGAATGAGCAACTTGACCTGCCCTATGAATATCTGAAGCCCAGCCACATAGAGAACAGTGTCACTATCTGAGCTCTAAGCTACCCCCACCTGGAAGGCTTTCAGCTCAGCTCCAGGACTGACATTTCCATCTTGAATTTCATGGTTTCCTAAGTCTCTGCTGCTAAGGCTCTATCTCCTCCCCCAACTAAATCCCCTACATCCGTATCCCACTAGCCCAAGGGGTACAGCAAACCTTTTCTGTAAAGGACCAGATAAAAAATATTTTAGGCTTTGTAGGCCACACAGTCTCTATCACAACTACGGGTACTCAGCGCTCCCGCTGTAGCACAAAAGCAGCCACAAACAATATGTAGAAGAAAGTGACTATGTTCGAATAAAACTCCTTACAGACAGTGAAACAGGGACTTCATGCGTCACCAAATCTTCTTCTTTTGGTTTAGTCAACCATTTAAAAATGCAAAAACACCAGCGCTTTGCTAGAGGGACATGCACAGGCCGTGGGCTGGATTTGGCCATCTGAGGCAGTACCTGCACACGGGTCCCCTCTACTAGCCCGACTCACTGACTCTACTTGCAAAACATCCAAAGAAAGCTCTGAGGGAGGGCAGGGAAGATTTCTTGGAAAAATCAACTTCCTCAACTAATTCTCCTTTCCCGGGAGCTAGACTTCATACTTGGTGGCCAACTTAAACATTCCTGACTCTGTCCTTTGGCAACTTTCCCTCCACCTCTATTCCTCCTATTTAAACACCTACCCCAAAAGTCGTTGAATAAGAATGGTGCTCCTAGGGCAGAATAAAAACCTTCACCCCAAAATGTCTTCTTTCCCCAGACAGTCTCAAACAAGAGAGACATGAAACTGATGTCTCAAGGCCACTTTCCCAGCTCCTTTAGTACCCTGGGGTCTCTTTCCCAGGTTCCAAGGTCTCTTCCACAACCCTTTTAAGAACAACATGCACAAAATAAATGGAAGAATACCACAAATTTACGCTAACTGCTGACAGTGTTTGGTTTTGGGGCCTTGGGATAGAAATGACCCCTCTCAATTATGCTGTGATCTCTGTCCTCACTAGAATGGGTACAACAAGCCCAGTGCAAAATTGTGTTCTTCAAACACCCCTATTTCCCTGGATAATTATTACAAATCTGTCTCTCGCCGTTGAAGTATACAACCTTTACTTTGGAAAGGATGATCTATTCATATTATTAAAGTCTTGTACCCTTTCTTATTCAAATAACCTATCGTCAGTTTCCTTAGTTTACCGTAGGGAAGCAAAGTGACATTTTTGTGTACTTATTTCTTTCTCCAGTACATGTAGCAGGATCACTCACCTTCACGACTCGCTCATTAAGTCTGCTTTCCCTGTAGTTTTCCTAATGCCCATATTTTACCTGGATCTGGCATCCAGTATTCCATGCTTTGTAACAAAACTTTACTTACGTATTTCCAATGCCAAGAACCCTCAGCAATTTTAAAGCGTTCTAGCCACAACAGCACGCTTGGCCTCGGGAAGGGGCTCCTGTCTCCTTGTACTGCGTCGGAACATCTACTTTATAAGGTAGGGATGAGTAGCAAGGAGATAGCACCTTTCTCTCTCGGTGTGTACCTCTAGGCCTCACTCACCATTTTCTCACCACAGGATAGCACCCGAAACTAAGGTATCTAAGAGAAAAATCAGACAGTTCCAAACCTCGGCTCCTAAGAGCCCACCTCCAAGGTGACCAGGAGCTCCGCCACAGCTAGACTCCCGAGGCGTAGCTACGGCCCGTGCCTCATCACGTGACTTGCCAAACTTGGTCACGTGGTATGCCGGCTCCTTCCATTCCAACCTGGAGAGAGGGGAGCCAAGAAACCGGAGGCCTTTGCTCCTGCAATACTCGCACCTCAGCTACATAGGTCAATAAGGAATTCTGGAGGGGCTGCTTCGGACTGCAGACACTGCCACTTCTCGCCGAAGTCCCAAGAGGAGCCAGAGGCGCTCAGCCTTCTCCGCCTGGCGGCCCCCGGCGCGATAGTGGCGCCCAGAGGCCACGCCCCCTCGGCCGCCCTCCTGACCCTCAGTTCTCCGCGGTGCGAGCCCCCCAGCCCAGCTCGCTTTCGCCGGGCGCCTCTGGGCTTCCTCTCATCGCCTTTCCCCTCGGCACACATCTAGGCGATCCCCGACTCCCTTCTTCATGGCGTCGCTTCTGTGCTGTGGGCCCAAGCTGGCTGCTTGCGGCATCGTCCTCAGCGCCTGGGGAGTGATCATGTTGGTGAGGGGACTGCCCGACAAGGACCGGAGAGGGCCTGAGGGACCCCGGTGTTGGAGGGCTGGAAAGCTAGAAGACTCCAGGCCTTAGAAAGCTGCAGGCAGGCTGGAGAGGGTGGTTGATTAGCCGCTAAAGAACAAGAGAGAACTGAGATTGAGAAATGGGGAACTGGAGTGGGGTAGGGGGCGGGGATAGCTGGAGCTTGGAATGGGAGCCGGGGCTGGTAAATTTGGAGATCCCTCAAGGGAAGATGAAAAGCTGGGCTCTTGATAGATGCTTGAGCTGAATGGAGGGCAGTGGGGAAAGGGAGCGCTTGTTCCCAAAAATGGGTAGCTGGGGCCGTGTTTCCCCAGGATTCTACCTTCCCCACTCCAGGAAGAAATATGAAGTGCCGATTGCCCCTGACCCCTTCCGCCCTGTCCCGTGATAATGACGCCTCTGGAGAGGAGGATAATCTGGGTTGCTCACTATTTCTGCCCTTGCCCCAGCCAAGTGGTCTCTCTGTCACCACCTCACGCTCTATTCCGGGTGACCGAGTCCGAATCTAGCACAACCAGCCCTAATCCCAGCTCATTTTGGTGATACCCAAACCCAGGTGTTGTGGAAACATTAAAAGTGGGAGGACTTTAGGGAGTGACCAGGTTAGGTGCCTGAGTTCAACAACCCACCCAATTTCCTTTTTTCAGATAATGCTCGGAATCTTTTTCAAAGTCCATTCCGCTGTACTAATAGAGGACGTTCCCTTCACCGAGAAAGATTTTGAGTAAGTAGTGTGGTCGGAGAGGCGGGGCTGGGTGCAGGTGGGAGGTGGCTGAGCCTGTGGTCAGAATTTGGGGCGGGGAATTGCAGGAGGCTGGATGCTTGGGACACGGAGGCTAGGGTGCGGAGAGCTGCTCTCTAGCGTACAGTTAGGAGCGGTCTCGGGAGTCAGACCTCAGCGGCCATCCTAAACCCACCACTTTAGATGTGGCTTCTTTAGGTATTTTACTTGACTTCTCTGCGCCTCGTCCACCTCTACAAAGTAGATGCTATAAGAGAACTCACCCCATATTGTTATGAAGAAGATTGAATAAAGACAGTACACATAAAAGTGCTGAGATCGGTACCTGGCACATAGTAAGTGTTGGCTGTTACTAATGTTTCTGACACTTCTCTGCCTAATCCCCACCCCTAGGCATGGCCCCCAGAACATATACAGCCTGTACGAGCAAGTCAGCTACAACTGTTTCATCGCAGCGGGCCTTTACCTCCTCCTCGGAGGCTTCTCTTTCTGCCAAGTTCGGCTCAATAAGCGCAAGGAATACATGGTGCGCTAGAGCACTGTCGCGTTTCCCCGCTCCAGTCCCCCCTCTATTTAAAGACTCCCCCCCGCAGCCGTTCCCACCCCCCACCCCATTCTGGAGCCGTCTGCGGGACAGGGCTTCCCTGGCGAGAGGCTGAATTCCTTTTTCTCCAATCTCTGACGCCCGGCCCCACTGGAGGGAGGCTGGGGCTGGCCGTTGCCTGTCCCTCCGGCCCCGTCGCCTTGTCCCGTACCACAATAAAGAGAAACTGCACTCTTAAGCCTTGTGTCTGTGTTTGGGTTGGGGGGCGGGCAGCTGGGCTGCAAATGGGCCTCCAGATGGGGAGCCCCGACCCCTCGACGGAAGTGGAGTGAAGCAGGGCCGGAAGTGAGGCGGCCTCTTCCACTCTCCTTCCTTCGGCGCGCCAGGCGGCCGGAGTGGCTGCAGCTGGAGAGGCGGTGAGCGGTCGCGCTGGAGCCAATCAGCTGCAGGAATGGGCGGGACTTCCTGCGCGGGGGCCGGAGCGGTGCGGTCGCCCGGCTCTCCGTGGTCCCAGCTCCGTGGTGGCGGCAGCGGCAGCGTCTCCGTGAGGAGGCGCAAGGAGCCATGACGTCAGCGTCCACAAAGGTTCGACCTCCCTCGCGGACAGCGCTCCCTGGCGGCCACGGCGGGGCGGGCCCCCCAGTTGGCTCCCGGCTCTTCCGCTTGGGGCGGGGGGCGGGCGGGAGCCGAGCTGGGGTGGGGCTAGGGGCTCCGGGCGGGCCGGCGCGGGGGTGTGAGCCGGCCCCCCGTAATGCTGCCCCGCCCCCAGGTCGGGGAGATCTTCTCCGCGGCGGGCGCCGCTTTCACGAAGCTCGGGGAGCTGACGATGCAGCTGCATCCCGTGGCCGACTCTTCCCCCGCGGGGTACGTGAGCCCGGGCTGGGACGTGGACGCGGAAAGCGGACGCTTGGACTCGACCACAGACACTCTCTAGGGCAGGGACAGACATTAGTTTCCCTTTGTGCCTGGCACAGCGCAGAGTAGGTGTTAATAAATGATGTTGAATGAATGAATGAATGGCAGATAAAACCACAGACTGAGGCTCATAACCCGGACTCGTTTCACAGCTCTACTCTGCTGCGAACCAGCAGACTATAGACCACCGCCACGACACACCCAGCCCAAATTATGTGAAATTTCCTCAGACTGCTGCCGAATGTACTCAGTGGTTCTGTTTGCTAAGACCCCTGGCTTGTTGAATTGCTTTCAGTGGGCTGTTTACAGCAGCTGTTTCACGTTGATGGGGGAGAGGTTATTCCCTAAGGTGGGAATATTGTTGCGATATCATGTGGTTGGGGGGTCCTTGGGGTTCCCACAGGGCCTTAAGAGCTGTTTTTTTTTTAAGGAGGACCTCTTTATCGATCCAAGGAAGGGGTCCCAGGGATTGGGGGAGGAGGCTGGCTGCTGTGGAATGCATGCCTGTGGGCTGGCTCCACACCCCTCTTCCTCCCACTTTCGCTATTCCCCTCTCCCCTTCTGACAGTGCCAAATGGACCGAGACGGAGATAGAGATGCTGAGGGCTGCTGTGAAGCGATTTGGGGACGATCTTAATCACATCAGCTGTATCATCAAGGAACGGACAGTGTGAGGGAGGGTTCGCTGGCAGAGAAAGGGAGGGTGGGCAGCTTCCTTCCTGCGTACCCGTTGTTCCATCTTCGTCAGGACTCCCAGCTCAACATCTTTCCTACTTTGTTGCAAGTTTTGTTAGCATCCCCTTCAGGACTGAAAGAATAAAAGAATTGTCACAATTCGCCAGAAGTTACTAAAGTGCTATGGTAATAGGACCTTCCAAGAATTTGATTTTAGGGTGCCTGAGATACCCAATAATTGAATTTGGTAATGGGAGTTCCCTGGTTATTTATACAGATCTTTTGAGACTCTGCTGCAGTGTTTCCAGGGATATTGTGATTCTGAATTAGTTGATCGATCAGGATCTACTAATAAGTCTTAATCTACCTGTAGATCACCAAGGCTTACCTGGTAGCATTGCACATCCATACATCTCTCCCAGAAGAGAATTAGGAGATGGGCCTTTTCTACTCCTCAGTTCAGGGACTCTTCACACTCCATCTGCCCTAAGTGAGTGCAAAGCTTCAGGAAAATGAGAACCCTGCCAAAGAGTTGGGGCCCTAACCTGGATTCTTATGAAAGGGTTCCTCAGTATTCCTTCAGGGTAGCCCATTACCCCTGCCCCTCCCCTCCCTTCTTCCCGAAGCCTCTCTGATGACTCCTTTCCTAACCTGCTCTCTCTTCTCTTCAGGGCTCAGATAAAGGCCACCGTGAAGCGAAAGGTATATGAAGACTCTGGCATCCCCCTTCCAGCTGAGTCACCCAAGAAAGGGCCCAAGAAGGTGGCATCTGGTGTCTTGTCGCCTCCTCCAGCTGCCCCTCCACCAAGCAGCTCCAGTGTCCCTGAGGCCGGGGCTCCTCCCATAAAGAAACAGAAGGCTGGTGAGGGCTGTGAAGTTGCTGCCTAGGGGTTAAAGCTTCCATCTGAGGTGCAGTAAGAGAATTGGGCTTGTGTCAAAGGAGGACAAATCTCTCTTCCTCTTCCAGTGAATGTTCCCAGAGACTGTCTCGAATGGGGGAGGGAGGGAGAGCTCCAAGCTTTGGAAAGCCAGAGTGGGGGCGGGCAGTCAGGGTACCTAGAACCTAGTGTATGCCCTCCTTCCAGATGTGACACTCAGTGCTCTGAATGACTCCGACGCCAACAGTGACCTGGTGGATATTGAAGGGCTAGGAGAAACTCCTCCAGCCAAGAAACTCAACTTCGACCAGGGTAGGAGTTGTCCTCCTCCCACACCAGCTGAAGGTGGTGGGGGAGGAAGTGCTCACTTGGCCGCTAGGGGAGGGTCTCAGCCGGAGCTCCCCTCCTTGTATGGGGGCTTTGGAAGAGAAGGTTCCCATACACAGTGCAGGGGATTGGGTCAATAAGGAGCCGGGTGCTTTGGGGGGGTGGGAGTTGTCTTGGACGCGTACTGGGGGTTGCTCCATCTCGGCCCATTTTACTTCCTGTTCCAGACAGTCTGACCCTGGATTCTGGCCTTCTCATGACCTCTGCTGATCCTCCTCTGCTCTCTCGCTGAGACTTCCACCTCTCACCCCTCTCACTGTTCACCCTGGACCTGTGGATCACCTGGGACTCTGAGCAAGGCCTGCATGAGAGAGGGTCGAAAGGCTGCTGTGGCTGCCCACCTTACTGTTCCTGTATAAGCATCTGTCCCAACCCCTTTGACCTCCATCCGATGGACACTTTTATACAGAAAACAATAAAGATTTCCCTCTCAGCTTGGTGCCTTCCGCTTAACTTATTGGAGTGCACGGGGCGGTTCCCTCTCTCATTAGCCCCCAGGGGCTCAGCCCCTCCTGGCAGCTCTCACCACCCTGCCTGGAGCAGCACAGCCAATATTGGCAGACTCTCTTCCCAGTGCCAATATTTCTGTGCTGCTAGAGCCAGGGGAGCTGGGTGTGGGCAACAAAGACTCCACTTTGCTCTCTGGAGGCAGAACTTACTCCCAAGGTCTCTGGCAGTCAGTATTCCTGAGACTACCCTGGGGATTTTAGAGGGGCTGTTTCCAGTGCTTTCATACCTCCCTCATCCCCCCCACTTCACAAGAAGGCCCCAGATGTTTTTTGTGTCGCTTCTCCAGGGTGGCCTCCCCGGGCCAAGCCTCAGCGGTGCCTCCCCCACCCTCGCTCTAACACCACAGTGTGGTTTGGACGTGGCCACAGTGCCGTACAAACCACAGTGTGCTGCTGGGGCGGGAGCAGGACTGGGGTGGGTTGAGAGGAAGGGAGCACAAGACCGTGCTGTGAAGACCCCCATCACCAAGAGCGGGGAGAGAGAAGGCTTAAAAGACAAACATGGCCCCAAGAAGGGTTGGGGAAAATAGGAAACCAGGGCTAGGAGCTGAGGAGGCAGCTGGAGAGAGAGAGGCCTAAGGGGTGAGCTCGAAGTGTAATAAGACTGGAACCATCTTCCCTCTGTAGGAACTCAGCTCAGGGGATCCCTAGGGTGGGGTCAGAGGCGGAGAAATAGGGAATGACTGTGGGGGACCAAGGAACTGCCTCCCGACTCAGCAAGGGCAGGGACCCAAGGCTTCCTGTGTCTGTTCCTCCCCTCCCTGGGTCAGAACCCAAGAGAAAGCAAGGAGAGACAGAAGGCCAAGGACAGCAGGGTTGGGAGTTGGCAGTCCAGAGGTGGTGGGGCCGGAACATGGTTGGGAGAGGGGGGCCGGAAGTCGCCCTGGGCCCTGGGCCTGCCACAAAATGGAGGCCAAAGGCAGGAAATGGAGGCCAGGGGGAAAGTGGAGCAGCAGGGCCCAGAAAGAGGGCCATCTGGACCTGGGGGCCAGGTATTCAACCCCCAGCGCTGTTCCCACTTCCCGCGGCCCCCCAGCACCCAAGTCCCACCCACCGCAACAACCCCCATCAGCCCATCCACCAGGCCCAGGAAGGCGGGCCCACCCCAGAAAGCCACGTTTAAGCTGAGACAAACATGCCTCTCCCCACCCCCACCCTAGGCCTTCCCTCAGCTCCTGTCCAGGACTTGATTTTTTAAAAGCGCCCCCCAGAAATCAAAATCTAAGGGCCAAAATCCCTTCCGCAAATCAAAATAATATCCTCTAATACCAAAAAGTTATCCTCCTACCTCCCATACCACCCCCCCTTCCGACACACCCCCCAAAACTCTTAGCAATCAAAAAGATCTAAGATGGTGGTGTAAGCAGTCTTTTTAGGCCCCAGGGAATGTCAGACCCCCTTCCTCGAGACCCCTATCTGTCCTACATCAAATTCTGCCAAGGCCTCCTGATCCTCACTCCACCCTCCATAGCCCCCAAACTGAACAGCTGCCCCCAGCTCGCATCCTCGGCAAAGCCTTTGTGGGGGTGAAACAGAAATCAAACACTATACTAACGGCTGGGGATGTTGGGGGCCCTCTGGTCTCAGTCTTTGGTTTCCATCTGGGGGACTGCAGTTTAGGGGCATAAGAGAGAGACTCTCCAATCATCCCCCCAGTTTCAAGACTGACAAAGCCCAACCCCACCCCAGCACGCACCTCCAAACCTCCCCCCCAACCGCCACGTCTCTCCTGAAAACAGGGGACACTTTCCTCCCCACTTACCTCAGCTACTCTCCCCTGAGATCCTGGTCCCCTATTTTGAAGGGAGCAAAATTTGGGGTGCATCCCTCACATTTGGGGTGCAGGAGAAAGGAGCCGCCCCAGTCGCATCGCTGGCCTCCTTCCTCTCGCTGGCTCAGGGAGTGGGGAGTGCTCTAGGGAGGGGGGACCCCCACAAGAGAGCTCAGGAGGGGGCTCCTCCACTCCCAGTCAGAATTGGGGACACCCCCCCCCCAAACCCGTCCCAGCCCATCCGTCTCCAACTCGGCGGGAGAGGCAGCTGCAATGCCCCAGTCAGATTCCCCCAACACTACATTCCTCACCCCATCTAGAGGGGTCCCGGGGGCTCCAAAAAATCCCAAAAAAATCTGGGATGTTGGCAGGACGGTCCTGGACTAGCTCCCCAAATTTGGGGTCCTCAGATACCCCCGTTTTTTCAGGAAAATTCCGTCTTTCACCTGCCTCCCGCCAGCCCTGCTCTGTCCCGATGCCAATTTTGGAAGTCACTCCCTCCTTCCTCCTCCCCGTCTCTCCAGGCCCCCCCGCTCGGGGGCTAGGGTCCAGGACACCTGGCTTCCAGACCGGGGGGCACTCCTTGAAGGGCTAGGGGCCAGGAGGTCAAGCTCATAGCCCCAGTCTTAGGGAAGCAGGAAAGCCCGATCCTCCCTTCCCCTCCCCCCTGGCTGGTCTCGGTGGTGGTTTAGGAAAGCCTGGAGGATTGGAATCTGCCATTGCTGTTGCACAGGCAGTTTTTTTTCCTTGGGTTGGGGGGGTGGGCGGTGGGAGGGAGAGAGGGGAGGAGAGCCGAAGAGAGCAGGGACCCAGGCGTGCACAGCTGGCCTGGCTTACCCCCTAGCCCCTGCTGCCGTGGGGAACCCCTCCCCCCCATCTCACCCACACTCCCAGTCCTCTGTCTGCTTTCTGTTTGGGGCTCTTATCCTAGGAAATCAGGGTATAAGAATCACCTCCTTGTACCCCACTGCCACCTCTCCTTGCCACAGTTCCAACAATACTGCCCTAGTCAGGGGTGTCCACTTTACCACAAGACACCCCATTTTCCCCGACCTTCCCCAAATCGAGGTGTGTTCCCTTAAGGAACTGGGGTTCAGAGTCTGAAACCACCTCTTCTCCCTCAGATCTATCCAGGCCACACAGAAATCAGAGGAGATACACTCCCTTTCCAAATCGCTGCCTTCAAATCCTGGGCATATTTGGGGGTTCACTAAAGAAAGAGATTTCTAGAATCCGGGGTGAAAGGGAACTATAAGCAAAGGACTCCCAAACCAGCTTCGTGCTCCAAATGAAGTGAACTCCCAAATCAATCTCATATTATGATCCATCCCTCAGCTTCACCAAATGCACCCAAAGAGTGACAAAACACCCCAAAATAAAGATACCCCAAAACTTTAGTCTCCTGGGCCCTACCTCGTTTCTCCCCCTGGAAAAAGCTTCTTGCCTATCTACACATACACAAGCATATCCCCCCTCAAAGTAAGTTTCCACAACATTCAAATATAAAGCTTTGCTCCCCCTCAAGGACCCACAATCACAGAAGGCCTTCAAATTTGCTCCCAGGTTCCTATTATGGGTTCACCTCAAGCTAATAAAAAACTCCAAATTGAATTTCATGTCCCACAAGTCTAATTTGAGCCTTGAAACTTATATGACACCCCAAAACAGACTGCACCCCAAAATCAGCATGACTACTTTACTTGAAATCAGATTGTCCATATACACCAATGACTATGAATCCCCCAAACACAACCCTCGCCCACCTCCCGAAGAACACCTAGCAGGTTCTCCTGATATTCCAAGATGACAGTCTTCAAATTGTAGGTATCAGAATCCCCTGAACTAATGTAGCTTCAAAATCAGCTCCATGCCTCAAACTTACTATTGCCCCTCATGCCTGAATGCAGCCCCCAGTACTCAGAACAATCAAACTAACTCAAGACCCCATAATAAACATGCACCCCCACAGTTGACCAGATAACAGAAAATCAACTCCATCCTGATACCAAAGGGAGCCCCTAGTCTTACTCCCACCTCCCAACGGGGCAGAGGCCAAAGTAACCTTCACATGCAAAAGCCATCTCACCATCCTGAATCTTCAGTGGTCCCAAAATCCCACTTTCTCAGCAGTTCTTTAGTGCCCCCCAAATAAAGACACCCTCAAATCTGAAAGGGAGGGCCCCAGGCCTGCATATGCAGGTCCATGGACAATGGTCAGTCATTACTGGCAACTATAAATTCTCCTGAGCCCAAATGCAAGTCCTGCTTTGCAGCTGGACTCAGCTCTGGCCCCCCTTCTCCAAATGAACCTTGTCCCTCCCGACCCCCAACGTCTCCGCAAACGAAATATGAGGGTGTGACCCGTGCCTCTCTTCCAGATCAGGGACTTAAAATTAGGGTTATCACGCCCCTCCTGCGCTCTCTCCCTTCTTTTACCCTGAGACCCTCCCCGTTTTCCCTTCTCTCTATTCACCCCACCCACCTTTCGTATTAATGTTCACTACAAATTCACTCTAAAGACAGATAGTAATGTCTATCTTAATTAGAAAAGAAAGTTCTGTGCTCCCAGGGCTCAGACCCCACTCCTTGTTCCACCCATTTCCCTTGCTCCCAAAGCCCGCGGATTTCTCACCCCAGGTAGGAACCCCAGCCTCGGAGGAAAGTCCCCTCTGTCGCCTAACTCTCCCTCCCTCCGACCAACCCTAGTCCCCTCTTAGGAGACAGAGGGATAAAATAAACCAGCGCAAAGGGGAGGACGAAAGTTTCAGCCGCCCACACCGAATCGATCCTGCGCCCCCGTCTAAGAGGACCCCCCAGCCGGGTGGAGACGACGGGGCGAGGCGAGGCTAGTGCTCGTCCGCCCCCTCGTGGAAGGAGCCAAACATTGCCGAGCTTTGCCTACTTGCCGCGCTGGACCCCGGCGTCCCGCCAGCCTCCAAGCGTAGCCGACGGGCGGGTGCCCGAAGCCTAGTGAGCTGGGATTGGGGGAGGGCAAGAGGGCTTTGGGCGGGAGTCTGTCTCTCTGGATCCCTAAAAGGATTCAGAAGAGAGTTGGGAGCCGGAGTCTGGACGCCTAGGTCTCCTGAGCGTCTCTCGGCCCCCACCAGGGGCTTTCCCCACCTCCTCGAGGGGAAGCAGCTGGCGGAGCCGTCCGGTCGCAGGACAATGGAAGGAAACGAACTAGAAATCATATCCGCCTCCTCTCTACCCCGCCCGGTCAGAGCCCCCCTTTTTGTAGGCCCTACTAGAGGAGCCTGTCATTCACACCACACCCTCCCGCTATCTGAGACCCCATGGGAACCCACTATTGCCTCCCCAAAGCTGGTTCCTCGTTGGGCTCCCCTTTATCTCTCTTAATACCGTACATTGGAAAGAGGAGTTTTGCTGTATTCACTTTCCTATAACAGGCTCTTGACACCCCCTTCCAAAAGCCAACACACCCATTTTCGCTGTCCCAGGCCCTCCGACGACCCAGGTTACCCACATTTCCGATCTCGATATCCCCAACCTCGTCCCCAATTCCAATGTCCCATCCTCGGTTCCATTTTCAGTGTCCCCAAACCCCTTACGTTACGACCACCCAGCGTTTCTGAGGTCCCGCCCTCGAGCCGGAGACCCCGCCCTGGGCTTGCCATCTGGAGAGCGAGGGAGGAAGGAAGGATACAGACCCAGGCGTTCACCCCACCTCCATCCCCCGCCCCCGACATCCCGGCCAGATAAAGGGGCTGAAGCCAAGAGGGAAGAGAGACCCCGCCCCCCTTGAGAAGACAAGCCGCAGCCCCTGCAGGACGGGGGTAAGAACGAGAGACTGAGGGAGCCGGACTCCTGGGTCCCAGAAGAGGTTTGGGGCTTGTTGATGGTAGGAAGATTGAGGCCCAGAAACTGGGCTAAACCAGGGGTCGGGGACTAGATGGTACCAGTAGAATTCTGTGGTTCGAGGAAGGGAGCTTTGATTGGGATTTGGAGGGGTATGGACTGCAGGTCGTTTGGGGTCTCTAGGCAGAGTCGGACACCTGAGACTCAGGCGCGCTGTGAATCAGAAGGGAGTAGGGGTGCTGAAAGGGCACTAGGAGTCGAACTAAGGGGCGTTGCGGGCTGGATTCCCCACGCTAGCCATCGACGCCGCGGTGTGGGAACCTTCAGTGCGCTCCGAGAGCTGTGCAATCTAGAGGAGGAAAGCGAGCGCTGGTGCGGCTGAGGGCAGAAGGAATGAGATGAATCAAGTGAGGCTGCGTGAGCCGCGGCCGGGGGCTTGGCTCTAGCTGCACCTTAGGAGGAAGAGGCAAACTGCGGGAGGGAAGGCGTCTGAGGACTGCCTAGATCCCCGAGCCCTTGCCTTGGCACCCGCAGGCCTGCGTCGCTATGGGTTCCACCGCTACCGCGGAGGGAGCGCTGGGCTACGTCCGCGAGTTCACTCGCCACTCCTCCGACGTGCTGGGCAACCTGAATGAGCTGCGCCTGCGCGGGATCCTCACTGACGTCACGCTGCTGGTTGGCGGGCAACCCCTTCGAGCTCACAAGGCTGTTCTCATCGCCTGCAGGTTCGAGGGGTGGTTCATGGGGTGGGGTGGGACCGAATGGGACAGGGGCGGAGCCATAAGGTCTTTGGGAGGGAATCCGAAGCCAAGCCTTACAGAAGCAGGAGGCGGAGCGTCCCCGAATTGGGGGCGGGGTGATAGTGGGGAGGAGGCGGGGCTTCCTACTGTGGTGCCTGTCTCCCTTGATTCCCTAGCCCCTAACGTGACGTGTCTGCCCTCTCTCCAGTGGCTTCTTCTATTCAATTTTCCGAGGCCGTGCAGGAGTGGGAGTGGACGTGCTCTCCCTGCCGGGGGGCCCCGAAGCCGGAGGCTTCGCTCCTCTGCTGGACTTCATGTACACTTCGCGCCTACGCCTCTCTCCAGCCACGGCACCAGCCGTCCTTGCGGCCGCCACCTACTTGCAGATGGAACACGTGGTCCAGGCATGCCACCGCTTCATCCAGGCCAGGTGAGGGAGCCCCAGCTTGGTGTTCTCTGTGGGTGAGGTGGTATCCCAGGTGTCAAGGGCAGAAGCCAAGATTAGGAATAGCACTAATGTCCATCACACTTTTCCCAGCTATGAACCTCTGGGCATCTCCCTGCGGCCCATGGAGGCAGAACCTCCTACGCCCCCAACGGTCCCTCCACCAGGCAGTCCCAGGCGCTCTGAAGGGCACCCAGACCCACCTACTGAGTCTCGCAGCTGCAGTCAAGGCCCCCCGAGTCCAGGCAGCCCAGACCCCAAGGCCTGCAATTGGAAAAAGTACAAGTTCATCGTGCTAAACTCTCAGACCTCCCAAGCAGGGAGCCTGGCAGGGGAGAAGAGTTCTGGTCAACTTTGCCCCCAGGCTGGGCTCCCCAGTGGAGATGAGGCTTCCAGCAGCAGCAGCAGCAGTGAAGAAGGACCCATTCCTGGTCCCCAGAGCAGGTACAGAAACTGGAACCCCAAGAATTTGTAGAGACTAACTTCACCTGGGAGGCAGAGCCATTGGGCCTGGGTGGTCAGGAGCAGGGAGTGAGGGGGTGGGTTTTGAGACACTAGCCCACCTTAGGGAGTTGGCTAGAGGCCAGGCTTACTCAGTGGGGTGGGGCTTTGGCAACACAATTGGCTATGGCTCATTGGTCAATACTGGCTCATCTCCAGAGGGTAGGCCTTTGGATCCAAGAACCCCTCCATATAATCTGTCCTAACCCTTCTCTCTGGGCTTTGCCACCTGCCTAGGCTCTCTCCAACTGCTGCCACTCTACAGTTCAAATGTGGGGCTCCAATCAATACCTCCCATCTCCTTGCACCCCGGGCCCCAGAGACCACTGGATCACCCTCTGGGCAGGCTCGTCCACCACCAGGTAGGAGCCTCTCCTTCTACCTCCTTCTTGGCTTTTCTCCTGTGGCTGCTCAAGGCCAGTTTAGGCCGAAAGGCCTATTCCAATTACTACAAATTAGAAATCACCAAGGGAGCTTTTAAAAATCCTGTTGCCCAGGTCACACCCCATAGATCAGAATGTCTGGAAGTGAAAGCCAGGCATCAGTATTTTTTTTAAAAAAAAGCTTCCAGTGAGCAACAAAGTTTGGGAACTTCTGGCCTATTCCCATCCAGGGCTGAGTGGTAGGCCCAGGGCTTGGCAGGGCCTCTCTGGCAAGCTGTCATCCAGAGTGGTGCAAGAGAGGAGAGAGAAGCAGAAACTTCCCCCCAGTAGTAGGGGCCTCCACCTACCGCTACCACTACTGAAGAGATTAGCAGAATTCTCTGGAGTCAGACAGACATGGAGTCAGAGCTTGGCTTGTCTTCTTATTAACCATGTGAACTTGAGCAAGTTAAATTAGCCCCAGAAGCCTTAATAGTAAACTGGGAAAAAGAAAACCTACTACTGTGTGGTCTGAGGATTCACTGGTATTGTTGTCATTACCTACTCTGCTTCCCAGGAAGTGAATTTTTCAGCTGCCAGAACTGCGAGGCTGTGGCTGGGTGCTCATCTGGGCTGGACCCCTTGGCTCCTGGGGATCAGGACAAGCCCTACAAGTGTCAGCTGTGCCGGTCTGCCTTCCGCTACAAGGGCAACCTGGCCAGTCACCGCACGGTGCACACAGGTAGGGGAGGAGCAGGGAGGAGAGGGCCCTGGACTTCATGCCCACAGGTGTCCTAGGATAGAGTCCCTGATCTCCCTTCCTCCCTACCTCCAGGGGAAAAGCCCTACCACTGCTCCATCTGCGGAGCCCGCTTTAACCGGCCGGCTAACCTGAAAACGCACAGTCGCATCCATTCGGGAGAGAAGCCCTATAAGTGTGAGACGTGCGGCTCGCGCTTTGTACAGGTACGGAGCCAGTCTCAGAGCCGGCTCAAGGGCGAACTTGCGAGAGGGCGGGGCGGGCCGTGTGGAGAGGGTTGTGTCTTTCCCAGAGGCGCGGTCTGAGGTCCCTTCGCCTCCCAGGTAGCGCATCTGCGCGCGCACGTGCTGATCCACACCGGGGAGAAGCCCTATCCTTGCCCCACCTGCGGGACTCGCTTCCGCCACTTACAGACCCTCAAGAGCCACGTTCGCATCCACACGGGAGAGAAGCCTTACCACGTGAGTACCCGACCTGGCCTGGCCCAAATCTTTAGAATTACCTCGCGTTCATTAGGGGCGGGGCTCTGAGAGGAGCTGGCCTGGTGGTCCCTAGATCTCTTCGAAGTGGGCGGTGGCCCGGAAGAGCCCGTGTGAATAAGGGGCGGGGCCGGTACTAGGATGGGCAGGTATAGAAGTTAGGCTCCTGCTCTGGGCACTGTCCTCCTGGAGAGGGGCTAACAGACGGAAAAACCTTTGCCGAAGAGGGCGGAGCCTATCTCCTTGGTCGACCCTTGAGGATTTGGGAGGATCTGAGGACTAAAGAGCTTCTGTTCGGCGGAGAGCTGGACAATTCTCCCTCGCTCAACACCTAAAAGGTGGTTGTGGATGGGGAGGAACCTGACGCAGCTGTTCTCCCACAGTGCGACCCCTGCGGCCTGCATTTCCGGCACAAGAGTCAACTACGGCTACACCTGCGCCAGAAACACGGAGCTGCTACCAACACCAAAGTGCACTACCACATTCTGGGGGGGCCCTAGCCGAGCCCTGGCCCAGACCCCACTGCTTCCTCGAAGCCCAGAAGCTGCAGGCTCGCGCCTGGCTTCCCTGTCAGCCTTGGGTTTGGGGTGGGCAAGGCCCCTCCTGTATCAGAAACTGCCACCGCCTTAATTTCTCACTGGGGAGAGCAGGGGTGGCAGATCCTAGCTTGATCTGCCTCTGTTTTGCTGGTCAAAACCTCTTCCCCACAATCGAAATTGTTTCTGAGGAGACAGCAAGCTAGGAGCTGGGGGAGGGGAAGGACTGGAAGCCTGGTTTCCTTAAGGGAACCAGTCCTCCACCCGCAGCCCCCATCCCGTTCAGTTTATCTGTAAATATAATTTATTGAGGCCTTTGAGTGGCACCAGGGCCTTCATTCTATTGCATTTCCCACTTCCCTCTTCCATAAGTGTGATCGAAAGTGACCTGAAACACAGAATGTAAGGTCACAACTCTGCTGGCAGAGATTAGCACTTGGCTGTCTCCTTTGGCTTGAGTGTTTTATATTATTATTGTCATAACTTTTATCTTTAGAATTGTTCTTTCTCCTATTTGCTTGTTGGTTTGTTTAAAATGGACAAAGGGGTTCTCTGTGTCCTGCCCCTCCAATTCTAGGTCTGGAACCTTTATTTGTTCTAGGGCAGCTCTGGGAACATGTGGGCTTGTGGAATTGGGTCAGGAACCCTCTCTGGTATTCTGGATGTTGTAGGTTCTCTAGCAGGCTAGAACTGGAATATAGACTTTTCTTTGTTCTTCCAGGATTATAGGAACCTTTATAGTAAGCCTGAAAGGGAGGTAACAAATGCCTCCTGGAGGCTGTGGGTGTGGGGGCTTTGTCAGTGTTGGAACTGGGAGGATGAATGAAGTGGCTCTCTTATGCCCCTAACTACCCCATTAGTCTGGTCACCTCAGTTTGGCTCCGCTGTGTCTGTCGTGATAGAGCCCACCCATAATCCTCCCACTAGGGCCTGTTCTTAGCACTGAGTTGATCCCTCTATGGGGGAGAGATCTGAAATTCCTTAACAGGAATGCTAAGATGATGCAACCTTTTCTGATTCTGCTCAGTCTCTAAGAATGTTATGATCTAGGGGAGAATTACGAAATGCTTCATCTTGACTAAACGGTAAAGAGTCATGATCTTTTTTTTTTTTTTTTTGAGGAAGATTAGCCCTGAGCGAACTACTGCTAGTCCTCCTCTTTTTGCTGAGGAAGACTGGCCCTGAGCTAACATTCATGCCCATCTTCCTCTACTTTATATGTGGGACGCCTACCACAGCATGGCATGCCAAGCGGTGCCATGTCCACACCCGGGATCCAAACCGGCGAACCCCGGGCTGCTGAGAGCAGAACGTGCGCACTTAACCGCTGTGCCACAAGGCCGGCCCTGACCTGTCCTTTACTGCAGAGGTATCTGGGTTTAAATGTTCCTTGAGGTTCTCTTTACCTGAGATGAACCCCCTCTTCCTTTAGCGGGTTTTTGGACATCTTCTGACAAGTGTCCAGATTCCAGAAACTTCTTTGCCTCTAGAAGTCACAGGTGCTTTGTAACTTTCTTACCTTAGAAAAGCTGGGTCTGTGACCTGGTCTTCCCATCACTGCATTCCTCTCTGGGACCAGTGAATGCACTAGAACCTTCCCCAGGGAGAAAAAAGGGGGCTGAGTTCCATTCTGGATTTGCTGTAGTTTGAGATTATGATTGGGATTACTGTTGGGATTAGAGATTTAGAAGATTTACAAGATTGATTGACTGAGGGACCTTCTAGTTGACCAGGTATCCAGGTAGGATTAAGAGGTTGGTTGAAGGGCACAGTCTCCAGTGTAGGCCAAGTAGGTAGAAAGTTAGGAATAAGGTTGCCTCTTAACTGGGTGGAATGTTTGGAATGTTACGCAGTATTCTGAAGCCTTGATTTACAGTGCTGCCCCCACTGTCCTGGGGCCTGTTTGATTGTGGTGCATGGGGTGGAAGGTAAGAAGCACTTTGAATATGTGGGGTGGAGCTTCCTCAACAGAGGTCAGTACTAGTGGCTATCACCTGGGGACTGGTGAGAAGGCTACTCTTCTCCCTCTTTCCCTCTTATTCCCCACTGCAGAATTGAAGGAGGAAAAGCAGAGGAGAGATATGAGAAGGAACCATGATTTTTATTTAGCAGATTGGATGGACAGGTGGAGAGTGCCTAGGGGTGGAGATGTCAGATCCTGCAAGACCAGATTCTTGGAATAAAGAAGCCTCTTTGTGCTGCCTGCTGTGTCCTGGGCTCTTGCTTGGGGAAATCTGGGGAATGGGTGACGCTGAGGAAGGAGGGTCCCCCCTCCTGGATACTATCTTGGATTCTGTGCCCATTCCACTGTCCCGTCTCACCAGACATTTTAGATGGCCCTTGTTCTCCCTTTCCCTGCCTTTGCCTTCCGGCTCATTGTGTAGGAACCAGTGACTTCATAAAGTTTCTCCGGAGCCACCTGCATCCTGCTGCTCTGAAGTCACTTCCTGCCTGAGGTGTGGAGGTGGCAGGGAGAAACCAGGAAACCACTAATAATACCATGAGGCTGGGGGATGCATCTGTGCTGGGGATCTTAATGCTTGATACACCTCCTACCACCACCACCACCACTACCAAGGAAAATGGATAGGACTTGGGTCCCATAAGGACAAGAGAGGCTGGAGGTGGCAGTGAGAAGGCCATGTAGTTAATGCCAACATGCCAACTCCACCCCTCCCCCAGCAATGGTGTTTTGGAATCTATCCGGTGCCCAGTGCATGCTTCTCTCCCTCCCTTTCCCCTGTCCTGTGTGTGTCTTGGGTGCACAGTTCTGTTCTGCCCCATGGGCAGAGGGTAGAAGGTCACTAATTCTTGTAAGTTACTTCCCTTTTGGACTTAAATTCCCCATTTGTGAAATAAGTCCATTAACGTGACCTCTGCAGGTCCTTCCAACATTTACAGTTTGTGGTTGTGTTTCTCAATCTTTTAAAACCCATGACCCGGATTAGATTTTTAAAAGGAAAAACATGAAACCAAAAAATAAATTAAAACCTTCCTTCCCCTCGCATTACAGCTTACCCCTCGCTGAAAAAAGAGTCCAGCTAAGATTACTCATCTCCTGCTACATGTCAGGCCCTAATCGTTTTAGTCTACAGATTTTCAAATTCAACCCCCTGAGGACCCTAAAGAGTGGGTACCATTATTATCCCCAACTTATAGATGGGGAAGCCAGCTGAGAGGTTCAGGATCTTGGCCAAGTTAATAAGTGATGAAGCCAAGATTGGAACTATGATTTGATTCTAAAGACTGCGCTCTTAATTACTAGGTTATACAGCCACACCAATTTCTACATCTTTGGCATATTCCCCACCTGCCAAAGTTTTGACTCCACTTACAAAAAAAAAATATTGGGGGGATGATTATTTTTATTTCCCACATATAAAATTATGAGACTCAAAAGTCTTTTTAAAATTACACATGGGGCCGGCCCGGTGGCACAGCGGTTAAGTTCGCACGTTCTGCTTCTCAGTGGCCTGGGGTTCGCCGGTTTGGAGCCTGGGTGCAGACATGGCACCGCTTGGTAAAAGCCATGCTGTGGTAGGCGTCCCACATATAAAGTAGAGGAAAATGGGCATGGATGTTAGCTCAGGGCCAGTCTTCCTCAAAAAAAAAATTAAAAAATAAAGTCAAGAGTCTTTAAAAAAATAAAATAAATAAAATAAAACAACACAGCCTCCCTCCCCTGCTACCCCGCCCCCAACCCCCCACTTGTCTGGGTATAAACCCTCGAGCCCAAGTTTCAAGGTCAGGGTTCTGGAAAGCTTGAATTATAATGAAGAAACAGGAAGCCAAGCCATTAGCGCTATATAGGTGGAGGGACTGGGTACTGGTTGGGTAGGAGAGGCTGATTGCTCCGGTGGTCATGGCTTATCTCTTTAGTCTATCCCATCATTAGATCAAAAAATGTGGTTTGGAAGTGGTTGTTACTGGAGGGCAAAGGAAAAGTTTCCATCCCCACTGAAGAAGCGGTAGGTGGTGGTGCTGGCGCCAAGTGAGTTCAGAGCCGCCCTTCCTCTCTCCAGTTATTTTTGGTCTTTGTGACCTGTAGGTTTCCTGTTAGTGGGAAGAGAAGCGATAGGAACGAGTACCCATTACAGAAATGAATGCCAGAAGTCCAACAACCCATTCCCCTTGTCTCTTTCCTTGGCCTCTGAACTCCTCAGGCATCCAGGAATCTAGATTCCAGTGGTCTCAGGCGCTTGGCCAGGTATTTTGTTTGAGTCTTATCTCATAACCCCTCCGCTCGCCCCCACCTGGCCCCGCAACTCCTGGGCCCCTCATTAAGCAAGTGTTTTCCTGAAGCAGTTTACCTACCACCAACCCCCATAGGCTCCTTACGTGAAGGTTGGGTGCTGAAATCTGGACTCGCTAGGTGGACAGAAGACGGAAGCCGCCCCAGCAGGTCCCTGCATCACGTGGGTCGCCTGTAGTCGGCCTCCTAATAGCCCCTCCTTACGCATGCGCCCCTATCCTGAACGACGCTCTAAGCCCCGCCCTGCCCTCCTGGCTCCTCCCCCTGCTCAGGAGTCCCGCTCTTCATTGGAGAACTGCCGTCAGGGATGTTGGCCAGGCTAGCCAGGTGCTGACTCTTCAATGATAAAATAGATAATCCACGCAGAGACTGGCGCGCCCCTGGAGGGGCGGGGGGGCCAAAGGCAGTGCCGCACCCCGCCTCCTAAACCGAACCTAGGCCCCTGCCCGGATCCGTGCGGCCCAGGCTTGGACTCTCGACTCGCAGCCAGCGGAGGCACGCCCCCGGGTGCTGATCGCCTGGGCCAGCGCCGGCCTGCTCTCCCGACCCATATCCCCCAACTAGGGGAAAGGCGCGGGCGCCTCACGCAGCCTCTCTGCAGCTTTCAAGCCTCGTCGGTACCTTCCTCGCTATCACCCTTGCCTCCGCGCAGCCCGGAGCCATCCGGCTGGGTAGGCAGGGGGTGGCAGGGGTGGGCAGAGGTGGAGCGTCCTGAGCCCCGCTCTCGCAGGGGCTCTTAGTGGCGGCAGCTCTGTTACCTCCCAGATGGCGCGTAGGTCCGAGCCCCCCGACGGAGGCTGGGGATGGATGGTGGTGCTCTCAGCGTTCTTCCAGTCGGCGCTGGTGTTCGGGGTGCTCCGCTCCTTCGGTGTCTTCTTCGTGGAGTTTGTGGCGGCGTTCGAGGAGCAGGCAGCACGCGTCTCCTGGATCGCCTCCATAGGAATCGCGGTGCAGCAGTTTGGGAGTGAGTGCTGCCCCTTGGTCCGGCGTCCTGCGACCCTCAGAAGGGGAGAGGGGATGTGGGGACAGTAAAGGGGAAGTTGGGGTTGGGGGGATGCTGGAGAGGGACACCTGAGATCTTGCAGAACCCCATCCTCTTCCCCAGGCCCCGTGGGCAGTGCCCTGAGCACGAAGTTCGGGCCCAGGCCGGTGGTGATGGCTGGGGGCATCTTGGCTGCGTTGGGCATGCTGCTCGCCTCCTTTGCTACCTCCTTGACCCACCTCTACCTGAGTATTGGGCTGCTCTCAGGTGAGACCCTGGGCACAGGCAGGAAGAGTCAAATGCGTGAGTCTTTGGCCTCTAGACTTCCTCCTTCTTCCTGCTCCTTCCAAAAGGCTTATGGAGAAGCTGAGAGAAAGTTTTGGGTGGCACCTGTGCCCAGAGGGGAGGTCTTAAGAAGGGTGACTAAGTGATAAACATGGTGGGGATATTAGGGAATTCAAAGATGATGAATCCAGAATATACAAGCCCAGGCCTGGTGTGACTGGAATCTAAAAGGAAGAATTCCTGTAAAGTTGTGCCATTACTGTGGCAATGAAATACATGGCATTATCCTATTTACAGGTGAAGAAGGCTTTAGAAGCTTATGCAACTTGGTAAATGAGGCTCACACAATCAGAAATGGTAGAGCCCAGGGCCAACTCCAAAGATCTGTGCTGTTTACTTTACAAACACTATCTCTAAGCCTCCACAGTCCCATAAGGTATACTACCCCCGTTTTGCAGATGAGGAGATTGAGGCTGGGAGATTAAGTAAAATACACAAGGTCACATAGCTGGAAAGTATCCAAGAAGATTATAACCCAGGCCTGTGCTGTATTCCGCTGTTGGGCAGTCTTGGGATTACTGGGTGCCCTGAGCTCCGTAAGAGTCCCCCAACCCCCATTTCTCCCTTTTTGACAGGCTCTGGCTGGGCCTTGACCTTCACTCCGACCCTGGCCTGCCTGTCCCGTTACTTCTCTCGCCGGCGATCCCTGGCCACAGGGCTGGCACTGACGGGTGTGGGCCTGTCCTCCTTTGCCTTTGCCCCACTCTTCCAATGGCTGCTCAGCCACTATGCATGGCGGGGAGCCCTACTGCTGGTGTCTGCCCTCTCCCTCCACTTGGTGGCCTGTGGTGCTCTCCTCCGCCCACTCTTCCTGACTGAAGACCCTGCCGTGGGTGGTCCTGGGGCCCAGCTTGCCTCCCTTCTCCATCATGGCCCCTTCCTCCGTTACACTGTTGCCCTCACCCTGATCAACACTGGCTTCTTCATTCCCTATGTGCACCTGGTGGCCCATCTCCAGGATCTAAATTGGGACCCATTGCCTGCTGCCTTCCTACTCTCAGTGGCTGCTATTTCTGACCTCGTGGGGCGTGTGGCCTCTGGGTGGCTAGGGGATGCAGTCCCAGGGCCTGTGGCACGACTCCTGATGCTCTGGACCACCCTGACTGGGGTGTCACTGGCCCTGTTCCCCGTGGCTCAGGCTCCCACAGCCTTAGTGGCTCTGACCGTGGCCTATGGCTTCACATCAGGGGCCCTGACTCCAGTGGCCTTCTCCATGCTGCCTGAACTGGTGGGGACTGGAAGGATATACTGTGGCCTGGGACTGTTGCAGATGGTAGAGAGCATTGGAGGGCTGCTGGGGGCTCCTCTGTCAGGTAAGGGGAATGGGGTTTCCGGGTGGGCCAGGGCTGCCATGTCATACATTTGGGGAGGGGACTATCCACATTATAGTGTATGTGAATATTGCCAACTCGTATGGTACAGTACATGGCCTACATGGCCAATCATAGCAGCCCTGAAGTGGGTCCATGGGGCAAAGAAATTGGGGCTGTGCAAAGACTAGGAGGAGCCCTTGACAGAGTACCTACAGCTTGGGTTTTCAGAGGACCTGGCTGGACCTGGCCAGACATAGCACGCTAGTGTCTGCCTGTTCCCTTGGCCCACTGGGCCCTAGCCCAGGTATCTGAGCCGTCTGGTCAAAGTTCCCTAGGCTCCAGATGACAGAACTTTCAGATCCTTAACACTGTCCTCTTAACTATTAACTGGAAGTGTAGAAGGGAGGGCCACAGTTGCCAGAAAGAAAGGCACAAGTGTGCCTGACTCGATCTGGATCCCCAACTCCCCACTGGCTGGTTTGGAGGTCCTTTCTGAAGGCAGGACAGTGGTCAAGATTACCTCTTGAAACCCCTTGGGAAACCCGAGTTCTCAAGCTCATCCAGTCCTACCTTGGGAGTTCTAACTCTCCCAAGATGGTGAGTTAAGGATTATTTTCTTCCCTCTACCCAAAAATATGTCTGAGCCATCAGTCCCAGGAGGCAGATCACCCATGTGTATTCCTTTTCTCTCTTGGACCTAGGCTACCTCCGGGATGTGACAGGCAACTACACAGCTTCTTTTGTGGTGGCCGGGGTCTTCCTTCTGGCAGGGAGTGGAGTTCTCATCACTCTGCCCCACTTCTTCTGCTTCTCAGCTCCTACCTTAAAACCCCAGGACCTTGTAACAGAGGCACTGGATACCAAAGTCCCCCTGCCCAAGGAGGGGCTGGGAGAGGACTGAACTCCAAAAGGGCACTGTCAGACCCAGAAAGCCAGAGGTTGGCAGCTCCAGGTCTCCTTGGCATGCACAGAACCACAGTGCCTTAAACATCTTGATCTGCCTCCCCCCAGAGCACGCCTGGGGCTCCTGCAATGTATGTGCCAACTCTTTGTATTATGTTGAGGACTCTCATCTCTTCTTTGCTCCCAGAACCTTTTCTGAGGGATCCAGGATTTTAGCCTGCTCCACTGAGCTGTGAAACAACTGTGAAAATCAAAGGCCAAGAGACTTATCGTGTTTTACATGTGATCTCTAATGTTGCCTACCAAGTTTCTTCTCTGAAGACAGATGTTTGGGAAAGAGAGATGCCCGTTTGAGATAAAACTGACTAAGAAAACTAGATAGTAATCAAAACCTCAAAAAGAGCTGGGGGCCATATGCTTGGGTTGGCTGAATGGGGTCACGGCTGGGGAGGGGGGTGGTCCAGGGGTTCTCGTGACCCAGAGCATTTTGACCTTGGACTCTGCTCTCTGGACCACAGTTCCTCCCACCTGCCTTCTGACCTCCCTCTTTCCCACTATCCCCTGTGACTTAGAAAAGAAATTAAAAGAATGGTGGGGACACGGGAGTGGGGGGGATTTGGGAGGAGCACTAAAGCTGAGAGAGCTGAAGTCTGGGTCTAGGATTCTTTTATTCCCCTCAGGCCAGTAGAAGGATACTGCAATGCAGAAAAGAGTTATCTGGGATGGGGACGGGGCGAAAGCACCCATGAGTCTCCCTCCCCGACAAACTGAAGCTGACAGGCAGACAACTTCTCAAAGATTCCCTGTATAATAACAACTTGGGCAAAGAGAAATGGACTGGCTGGACAGACAGATACCTTTCCCCTCCCCCGGGGCTTAGTGGGATCCTGTTCCTTTCAACTAGCCCTTTTGGGTATCTTAAGTAGACTGTTTTCAGCGTCCTAAATTGGCTCACAATTGGAGCTTGCAGGAAAACCGGATAGAAATTCTTTATTGGGGGAGGGGCTCAAACAACATGGTCAACAAGCGGTATCCAGGGAGGAGTGAGGGCCTCCTGGCGAAAGCAGAGCAACCTGAGGAGCAGGGAGCAGCTCCCCCCTCTCAGGGGGAAAGGTGGCTGGATGTGAGGCTGAACGGCAGGAGGGCAGCGCTGCGGGCAGCCCCATGTAAATAAAGCTGCCAGAGAGGATGAAAGAGCCGCACACGAGGAAGGAGGCGGTGAAGTCTCCGGTCTCATCCCTTAGGAAGCCTGAGGAAGGGGAAAGGAATTCAGAGGGCTTGGACTCCCGGGGCAGAGGATGGTTGCGAGCGCACCGGCTGACTCAAGCCCTTACCTGACAGCGGAGGGCCCAGAAGCCCCCCGAGGCTCATCAGCATCATCATCAGCCCGGTGGCTTGTACGACACCGCCGATGCCCACCAGCCCCGGGAGCACGCCGAAAACCAGCGGGGCGTAACTTCCGGCGCTCAGCCCGTAGGCCCCAGCCGCGGCCAGCAGGGGGCCCCCCCAGCCCTCCTCGCTCCGCACCGCGGGCACCAGTCCCACGGCCAGCAGCCCCAGCCCGGTTAGAGCCCCGAACACCGCCAGCAGCCGCGAGAGGGGCACCCAGCCCTGGTCCGCCAGCCACCCGCAGACCAGCCGGGCGCCCGCGTCCCCCACCGCGGCCACCGCCACCACCAGAGCTGCCCCATACCCCCCCAGGCCCCGGTCTAAAGCGTGAGGGGCCAAATGCACGTAGGGGACGAAATAGCCGCCCCCCACCAGGGCCGTGCCCAGAGCGAAAACTGAGAAGGCCCGGCGTGTGAAGAGACCCAGGCCGAGGGCAGCTAGGGGCCCGCGCGGTGGGGCCGGGGCGTCCCCAGGGAGCGTGAGGGGGCGCAGCAGGGCGCCACAGGGGGTAAGGTGAAGGGTAATGGCGCCAAGGAGGAGCAGGGCGCCCCGCCAGCCGAAAGTATCAAGGAGGAACTGCAAGGTGGGCGCCAGGAGCAGCGAGGAGGCCCCGTTGCCCGTGAGTGCCAGCCCCACGGCCAAGACTCGACGGCGGGAGAAGTAACGCGAGAGAGTGCCGAGGGCAGGGGCGAACACCAGGGCCCAGCCGAAACCTGCGAATGGAGAGCACGCGGTGAGGACAGGCACCAGGGATGCCTACCCCGGCAATCCCAGCCCTGCGCTTCGCAGGAGGGCCCCATCCCGTTGGTCTCCAGCCCCCGACAAGCTCCTATCTCTACCATCTTAAGGACCCCAGTACCCCTCTCCCCTCACCAGCGAGGACGCCCAGGCCGAGGTAGAGGTGCAGCAGACTGCGGGCGAAAGCCGAGAAGACGAAGCCAAGCGAGGTGAGGACGCCCCCAACCATGACCACCGGGCGCGCCCCCCAGCGGGTACTCAGGGCGCTGCCCACTGGGCCTAGAAGGGGGCGGAATCAACGGAAGACACGCCCCTGGACCCCCAAACTCGCTCCAACACTTCTCATTGGCTGTTTGTCTGGCCTAAGCTCCCCCCAGCCCAATAGCTCTCCACCCTTTGACCTCAAATCCCACCCTTCACTACAACGTGGTTCCACCGGTCTCCGTTTCTCAGGTTGTCTGGTAATCAGGTAGGTCCTCCACCACTACACCACGGCCCCTCCACCCCAGTTCCCGCCTCCCACCTCGGGGCCCCCCCTCACTGGCTGCCTGCTGGACGGCCAGGGCCAGGGCGCTGACCCACGCTGTGTCCTGAGCGCTTCGGTCAAAGTGCTCCGCGAGGTCAGGGAGGGCAAGACCCAGGGAGCGTAACAGCCCGTAGGAGAGCCCATTCACCGCGAAGGCTGCGGCCGCCACCACCCAGCCCCAGCCCCCGTCCGGGGGTCCGGCCGGCTTGGGGGTCATCGCCTTCTGGGGGAGGAGGAACACCTATGAGTGAAGTCTCCACGTCTGTGCCTCCTCTAGGGATCTGGCATCCCTGAGATCCAGCTTCTGGCTGCTTGCCCAGGGTGGGCACGTCACCCTGAGCACGATAGGAAGGGAGGAGGGAGCGGGAGCTAGGCCTAGGGAGAGGACTCCTGGGTTCGCGCAAGGTACCGGGAGGGAGTGACAGCCGAATCCCGGAGGTCTGGACTCCCCCTCCCACACACACCTCTTCCCCCTTACCCGACCTCTCCGGGCGGTGGGGGAAGGGGAAGGACGAGGAATGGCACGGCCTGGTTTTCTCCCCACTCCCCGGGCGGGCGGGTTCTCAGAGGGGAGCGATTGCAGAGATGGAGCCCAACTTGGACGGGCTCTCTCCGTAAACAGAGAGCACCACAGGGGGCCTGAGCCACCTGGGACGCTGAGGGAAGGAGGGCGGGGGCGAGCTGAAACCATCAACCAATCCGCCGAGCTGCGGGTGAGGCCAGACGCTAGATCCCACGGGGATTGAATTATCCACACCCACGCCCACAGTCCCCGGGAAGGGAGCGGAGAGGAATGAATGCCGCCCCGCCCACCCTGCTCAAGTCCACGCACCTGCCGCCTGCTGCGCACGGAAGAGACGAGTGGTTTGCAATCCCCAGGAAGCCCAAGGTCTGTAAGCAACGCACGGAAATAGTGGTCCCCCCAAAGCCTGAAGGGATGAGTAGTTTTGTTCTCAGGGAACGATGCTGGAGGACCAGGTAAATCTCAGATATCAAATCACAGACCTCCACTGAGTGTTTGTTCGGTGCTCAGCAGTGGGCCCTCAAGCACGGAGGGGAAGGAAGAGGACTCCGTTATTATATGAGAATCTGCAATATGCCAGGTAGGCTACACGTGTCATCTTTTCATCCTCACAGTAACCCTGTGGAAGCGTCATCCCCATTTTACAGATGAAGTGACTGAAGCTTAGAGAGGTTTAGTGACTTGCCCAAAATCCCCCAGGTTAAAAATGGTGAAAATGTTTGAATTTGAGTCTGTCCAACTGCTCGACTATACAAGGACAGCAGACCTAGGACTGAAACAGAATTTGCCACGGTTGTGGGAAATGGTCTGGAGACAGTTTGGTGCCAAACTGACCTGGAGATGGTGGAATCTGTGCAAGGCCAGAGAGTTTATGATTCTAAGATAGGGGTTACTGGGAATAGAAAGGATCCTTCTGATCAGAATTCACTAAAGATTTAGATTAGAATTTTGAAAACAAAGTAAGAAATCCAAGAATTGAACCCAGGCAGTTATTTCCTGAAAAACTTTATAAAAAGTATCCTTTTTACATTAGGATTAAAGTTACCATTGCTTCACTTCAGCTGTTTGAACCAAGAGGTGTGTTCTTTGGTTTAACTACATATTAAACGGTATTAGAGAAAATTGGTCAATTTACAGTTTGGGCTGTGCATCACACGACAGCCACGTGATGGCAGTGTTTCCTAATTGTTGAGAAAGTAGCTGCAAATAAAGAGAAACAGCTTCTTGAGTAGTGAAACTGTAAACCTAACACACAGAGCATGACCTTCAATGGCTCTCCACAGCCTATAGGGAAAAAAAATCAAATTTCTCTATTTTGGGTTTAAGGCCTTTCACAAGCAAAAGTAGAGCCAGACTACCTTTCCATTCCATCTCCTTCCCCTCTCTTGTGCATCCTTCCATCAGCCATTAGCATCCCACCTGCTTTTTCTCACTCCTGAACTTTCGCATATGTCATGCCCTCTGCTTGAAATGTCCTGGACGGGGTATAGGAATCCATGAAGGTTTATGGTCCTGCGCACACGCTAGGAAAGTGGTCTCACCGGTTTCCTGGCCTGTGGTGCTGTTTTGAAAGGCTCCTGGGAGGTGGAGTCAGCAGATCCTGAGCCACCCAGGATGGCAGGGAGCCCAGTTCCTGAGCTGGCTGGGGAGGACTCTGCTCAACGGAGCCAACTGAAACAAATCACTCCCCCTCTGTGGTGAAGTGAAAATGCAGGGCAATGAGGAGACTGTGCCTTCTGGGTCTGGGAGCTGTACAAAGTGAATACCTTTACAGGATACTTATGAACCCAGAGGGCATCCCAGAGCCTGAGACTGGGGTGATTGGCTGTGAAAGGGCACATTCCTTTTCTACCTCATGTTCCCTATATTCTTAGCCCAAATTACCATCACTATACATCTTTTGCTCATGGAGCTAATATAGTATTGAGGTTGGGAGAATAAATTCTCAAGCCAGAATTCCTGGGTTTGAATCCCATCTCTGCCATTTCTTAGCTGTATTATTGTGAGAAAGTTATTCAACCTGTTTGTGCCTCAGTTTCCTCATCTCTAAAATGGGGGTAATAGTAGTAGCTACCCCATAGGGTTATTATGAGGATTAAGAGTCATTGTGTATACGTATGTGAGTAAGGGATTTACAATAGTGCCTGGACCATGATATGTATCAGCTGCCATTGCTGCTATTGCTGTGACTCAGAGGGACCTGGCTAGACCCCACAGCACTGCTGCCCCTGCCCCCATGGCTCTGTCTACTAATGCCTCAAGGTCAAAGAACCACAATGGTCTGGTGAGTTCTCAGTAGAACCTCACAAGTTATAAGATGTGAATGGCTACAAAAAGAGGTTAAATGGGATTTGTGTGTGTGTGGTGAGTGGTTTTCTTAGCGTTTTCCAAAGTCTATGAGAAAATGCTGGTCTCCCTATCTTGACTCTAAAAACAAAAGAGAAGAAAGCAGTCAAAATAAGTTTTGTTCATTTGCTTTAGACACAATATTTGTAGACACCTACCATGCCAGATGCTGTGTTTAGGGCTAGAGATGCAAATATAAATGATACAATCTTTCCCCTCCAAGCCCCACCATCAAATTAGAGAAAAAGTGAAATAAAGAAATCTCAACACAAAGAGAGGGACACACATATCATAGACTGGTACATGGGAGGAACTGACTTGTTTGCTTGGGCCTGCTAGGAAGGCTTCACAGAAGAAGAACCCTTTGAGCTGGGTCATGAAGGATGAGTAGGAGTTTGCCAGGTGGACGCATGGGCAGGGGCATTCCAGGCAAAGAGAGCAGCTGGTGAAAAATCACAAAGACAAGAACCAGCTTAGCACATTGTTTATTGTTTGGGGGAGCTGTAAATAGCTGGGTGGAGAACAGAGAGTGTGTACGAGAATAATGTAGGACAAAGCTTCTAGGGCGGATGGTTCCATCATGAAAGGTCTTGAAGGCCAGGCTAAGGAATTTAGATGTTTTCTCAGAGACTGATGCTTCTCAAAAATTTCCACTAACATAGCATTCACTACTATTCACTAATATTGGAAGCTGATCACAGAGGAGAGAAGGTTCATACCACAGTTGGAGGGGTCAGGAGAGTCTGGGGTTGTAGACCTTTTGCATGTGGGAAATTTCTTTGAAATAGCTTGTTTTACGTTGAAAATTCATGAGGAATTTTCAGCCATCCTGCTTCATTCTACTTCATAATCTTTGATGCATATTTTCATAGGAAAGTAATGCTTTAAATGACTAGGTAAATTATTGAAGTTTTTCTCCTTAAGTCTCCACTGATGAGGCAGCAAGGTCTCCTCTGGGAAGTGGTCTCGGCCACACCCACTCCTAATCTGCATTAGATGCCCCCATTCGGCCTACTTAACCCCCATCAGAGTACTTCTCAGCCTGCAGTGAAATCATCCGTTTTTCTCCTGCCCCTCACCCCCACGTTGCCCTGGAGGTGGGACTTTGCATTAGTGATCTCTGGATCTTTGACACCCAAAGGCCCCAGAGGTAAATGATGAGTGACTGAGTGAGAGAAACACTGAACAAGGGACTCATTGCATGAGTGGACTCGGGGCCGGTGCTCCATGGGATGTGGCACTACCACAAGAAGGGGTCACTCATTAGTGACCATTGACCAAACTGGTAATGCCTGCCCACCTGGAGAAAGCCCCAGAAGCAGATGCTGAGCCAGGTCAGGTCTTTAGGGAGATCAAAAGAGAGGGTCATAGTCTTTACATAATTTTCTTTGGAAACCACGGGATCTGGGAGTGTGTGTGTGTTTGTGAACTTTAAAGGTGCTCTGGCACTTTCTCATGGGAGCCCCTGCAGGAGGTGCTTGGGGCTTCAGGCGTCTGCAACCTCGAGGAAGCCCTGAGCTGAGTCATTCCGTGGGTACACCCCTCAGGGGCTCCCTCTGCAGAAGGTGGATAGGATGGAAGAGGACAGGCCAGGGTGGATGGTGTTACCCATAGGAGTGGGTATTTAAGGTATATTGGGTGGTATATTGAGTGGTATATTGAGCTCTATTTGAGGTACACAAAAATAGGAGGCTTTCCGCTATTTGGCCCAGATGATCTTGGGCTTCTAAGTACCTAAAAGAGTTGCCTCTCACCGTCACCTCCTAGAATCCTCTCCTTCCCCAGCTCACCCAGAGACCAGGCCGTGGAAAGTCAGCATAGACCTCAAAGCCCCAGCCCAGGGCCAGGGAAGCACATTGTTGAGATGCTCTGAAATGGGGTAGGTAATGAAGCAGGAGGGTAAAGGCACCCACTCAGGACAGTGGGGCTCATTGTGTGCAGGGAACAAGTCTGCCTGGATGACCACACATGAATAGAGAACTGCACTGGGTTCCCTGAACCTTGCGTTAGGACTGGAACTGGGTAAGGAGTTTGCTGAGTCTGGGGCTGGGGGAGGCTGGTGGTGGGGCCGAAATTGGCACATGTCAATGAATCAGAGGCATAAACTACAAAACAAGCAAAAAGTTTATTTGGGGTCTCAAGAATTGCAAATAGTGTTCTGCTAGGGTGTAAAAGTCAGGGGTCTTTAAAGGCAAAGAAGGGAGGTTGTATTACAGAGAATTTTAATTGCAGTTGGAGGCAGAGAGTTAGTTTTGGCTAAATATTGATGGACTATTGATTCTGTCTTCAGAAAGTCCACAATCCTCAGTCTTTGTGATCAGGATGTACATTCTCTTGCTGACTTCTCAAACAATTGCTGGCAAAAAAATTGCCATTGTGGTCCAGTCCAAAGGTGTGGCCCAGTCCAAGGTTCAAGCCAGCAAGGCAGTCTCTCTGGAAAGGCAGCCCCGACTCCATTTTAAAATGGCTCCACTACAGTAAATGTTGACACACACATGAAACAGAGCTGAGGCTGGAGCTAGCTTGGAGCCAAGACCTGGGATGGGGGGAGTGGGATGGGAGTCCTACCCAACATTACTCCTTGCTTACTCCCTCTACCAGGTCTGTCTCCGGTGCCTCTTCCAATCCAGTCCTCATCCCTTCTCTCTGTCACCACCCACCACGTCCCTACCCGCTTACATGCTAAAGGTCTGAAGCCTCTGGCTCTTGGATCTCCCTTGACAGCCCAGGCTCCAGGATGGTGGGGGATGCACCCAGCTAGAGTCTTTCAGCCTGGTCTGTGTGTCTAAATATCCAAAGGTGTATTTTCTGGCATTGTCTGGTTCTGGGACTTTGGCCAACATCTTTGTCAAAGTTCTTAGTTGTAAGCCACATGCGCTCACTCTGACTTACTTAAGTAGAAAAATATTGATTACAGGACACAGGGTAGCTCTTAGAATTACCAGGAAGGCTACAGAACTAGGTTTGGCAGGA